TCCAGGATGATGGCGACATATTCGGATCTGTACATATGGGCCCTCAGGTACTCAGCCGATCCTTCAGTCTTCCGCAGATATCCCAGCCTGCCAGTGGCTATCCGTATCATTTTATTCATTGTGAGAATGTCACCACACTAACATCGGATGATTCTCATAAGCCTTATGTATAGATTAATCTCCTGGTGTAAATACTCAGGATGATAGTGAGTTCGGGATGCACTCGAGGTCACGGAGCTTAGCGGAATCGGAGTCAGGGACTCAGGACAACTCGGAAATTTCACGAGGTCACGCGCATGTGCACAATGGCCTGCAAGATGTTCGCTATGCACGACGGGAAATGCACGGAGGTTACACAGCATCACTTTACCCCCCGCTACGATCTAGTCCAGTTTCGCCGACGCGTTCGCGCGCGCCTTTGAATCTGCTCATCTCGCAAGTGTCTACATATGCAGTTCAGCACCACTCAAACGGTCCTGTACGAAGTGTTGTCGGTACGTCGCAGGCATCAATGAGTTGTAGAGTTTAATGATCTTGTTGCGATAAGGTACTGCTTCAGGGATAAGGCGATCGAGAAAAGACATGATTTTGTAGCCGAGCTCGATAGTCTGGCAAAAGATCAGAGTTGTCGTGATATCGGTGGGGGAAGCCATCTCCAGGGGTATCAGGAAGCTGATGTCGAGGAAGTCCGTGCCAGAGACAGCATGCTCGAAGAACCGCGGGATATATTTGATGTTGGAGCAGTCAACCGAGTACCGAGCATTGACATAGTGCCCAGGTTGGAAGCCCAGATTTTCAGCAAGAACCAGAGTCCGAGATGGAGTCGCCATGCCAGTGAACGCTGCCCAAACTGTCCGAGCTGACAAGATAGCGCGCATAGTCTTGATGGACTTGAAGATCTCGATCCACTCGCCACTCTGTTCGTCGACGAGGTGGGCTTCGTCAACGAAGAACCAGCAGACAAGACTCTTGACAGCTTGCTGCGACAGCAGGCTACGAACGCGTTTTGACCGGAGCATTTGAGGGCTCATGATGGCGAGACGAATGTCCTCTCCGCTGACAAGCTCGGCCAGAAGATCGCGATTGTTGTGGTATGCTTCTCTCATAGTGTCTTCGTTGATAGCCAGTGCACGAATTCCGCGGCTATTGGCCACAGTTTCCTATACTCAAGGTCAGAATGAAACTACTGTCGGTGTGCTTGTCAGCACGACAGTACCTGCTGCAATGCTAGCAATTTAGTAGGCACAATCATGAGAGCTATTCCTATCTTCATCTGGGCTTGTGCAGCCAGTAGCGGAGCATGCATAACCGTCGTCTTCCCCTGGCCCGGCGCGATGACGAGGAACAGATCCTTGCCGCGGATGAGGTCCATGCCATGGCGTAGCTGGAAATCGCGAACCGAGGGAACTCCGCACTTCTGAACGATCGGCAACTCGAGCCATCCTGAAGAGCCTTCTGCAGGTATGATGGACATAGAGAACGGCGTGGATTACAGCTACGTAGCATACATACAGAGTTGACGCGACTGACATCTCTGCCACCGACGCGTTTTGGGAATTATAGTTTAGTGCCGATGACGCAGCCGTCCCTTCCGCTGTCTGGCACGTAGCTCAAAAACTCCCACGGGGGACTTCTCAGTGGGCTCCCGGATAATGATCCTAGACTACATACATATATCGAAGTTGTCGACGCCATCTTCGGAGGCGCGGAGAGCGGCCTCCGCGTTGAACGGAAACACTTCAGCGCCTAATCCGGACAATGCCGACAACGTACGAATTTCCTTATCCCGTAATTCTCACTCAAAAGGTAGGTCTCATAAAACATATGTCACATGATTTATTAAAACCCTGGGTTTTCGCCCGGAAATCCTTCCAAGTTGAGGGCCTGCAGGAAAATTGCTACCAGGAACCATTTTTCTGGGGTTTCGCCGGTGTCCACGGGCCAAAGGGACAATTTCGGGGATGTTGTGCACGTAATTAAGTTGTACAGGCTTTTCGACCATTTTCGGGGGAAGGTCAGGCCTGCAGCGGGATTCAAGTCATAGGGGATTGCGGGTAGTCCTATGTTCACTCCTAGCACCCCACTCTTCTGAATCCTCTGTGCAGCATCCACGATACGAAAGCGTCGAGTAAGTGGCTTAAACCCCGTGAAAGCATTGAACCATATTCGTCTACAGAGATCCACGTCACCTCAGCCCATAGTCGTACGCGAAAGTTCATGGGTAACGCCCAGAGTGCTGTATGTGCCCCAACTCTTCTACTCGCACGTCCAATTCTAACATACAAATGCAGGAACAGGAGGGCCACGAGAGATGGCAGGCTGAAGAACGCGCTCGCGAGGAGCAGCGCAGGCGCGAACAGGAGGCCCACGAGAGATGGCAGGCTGAAGAACGCGCTCGCGAGGAGCAGCGCAGGCGCGAACAGGAGGCCCACGAGAGATGGCAGGCTGAAGAACGCACTCGCGAGGAACAGCGCTGGCGCGAACAGGAGGCCCACGAGAGGTGGCAGGCTGAGGAACGCGCTCGCGAGGAGCAGCACAGGCGCGAACAGGCTGAACACGAAAGATGGCAGGCTGAAGAGGCACGGCGCCGCGCAGAAGAGGCGCGCCAACAAGCAGAGCATGAGAGGTGGCGCATGGAGGAAGAACAGAGGCGCATTGAGAATGAACGACGGGAGGCGGAAGAGAGCAGAAGACGTGCCGAGGAGGAGCTCCGCCGTGTCGAAGAGGAGCGGCAACGCGCCGAGGAGGAGAGGCGACGTGCGGAACACGCGAAGTGGGAAGCAGAGGAACAAAGGAGGCGTGCAGATGAGGAGCGCCAGCGTGCAGAGGCTGAGCAATGGCGTGCAGAGGAGGAAAGGCGTCGCTCGGACGAAGAGAAGCAGAGAGCGCAACAGGAGAAGGAACGTGCAGAGGAGGCAAGCCGGGTGGCTGAAGCTCAGAGGCGCCAGGCCGATGAAGAACGGAGACGTGCAGAAGAGGCTCAACGGCGGGCGGAGGAGGAAAGACGGCGAGCCGAAGAAGACAGCAAGAGAGCGGAGGAGGAGAGGCGGAAAGCGGAGGAAGCCAAGGAGAAGGCAAGGACTGCTCAAGAAGACGCAGAACGAGCCTCTGCAGCGGCTGAGAGTGCGGCGGAAGAGGCTCAACTCGCACAGCAGGAGGCCGAGAAGAACTTGAAAGCCGGAATACGTCCTGTCATATGGCCGACGGAGGAGGAGATCCGCATTCACAAGGAACGGCTGCAGTACCATGAGGGGAGGCTACACTTCGCGGTCGCTGGCATTGCAGGTAGTGGCAAATCGTCGCTCATCAATGCTCTCCGAGGGATCAGCAACAGTCACAAGGACGCGGCGCCCGTCGGAGTCACGGAGACAACAAAGGTCATCTCGCGGTATCAGGACTCCAATCCCGAGAGGCTATTCGTCTGGTACGACGTGCCCGGCGCGGGGACGTTGGCTATACCCGGCTGGCAGTACTTCAACGACTATGGCCTCTACATCTTCGACGCCATAATTGTGCTCTTCGACAACCGCTTTACCGAGACAGACATTGCTCTACTGCGGAACGCTGCGCTTTTCCATATCCCGACATACATCGTGCGGTCTAAATCGACTCAGCACATCGCGAATCTTATGATGGACCTGGATTTTGGGGAAGACGAAGACGAGGGCCGTTGCCGCGCGACCGCGCGCCAGACCTACATTACGGAGACTCGAGACAGCGTCGCGCACAATCTGTGCGAGGCAGAACTTCCTGGACAGAGGGCCTACCTTATCACGGCAAAAGAGATCCTTTGTGAGGTGGTCAAGGGCGGCATGCCGAAGGACATCATCGACGAGGCCGAGCTGCTCAGCGATATGCTGCAGGAAGCGCATTCTCATCGTTAAGGCCGTGCTGGAGTCGATGCCTTCGCGTTTCGCCTTGTGGCTGTCACAACACCGGTGACCTCTCTATTACTCGTTTACTTTCCGGTCTTGCGAACACAGTAGCGTCTTGTCGTGCGCTTGTCGTATGCTACGAGCATTGTGAAAATGCCATAGTCTATGCACCAAACATTGACACTGTATGTTTGGTGCATCGAAAATGGCACAGGCGAAAGCTCTTGGAAGCACTCGTGGCCATTCTGAGTGCATCTCTTAGTAGTTATGTAACTTGGTGAGCTGGACGTTCTAACAACTCACAAAGATTTCGTTCGCAGCCTACCGTGGCCTGCTAACCAAATTCTGCTGGACCTATTTTCAAGAGTAGCCTCCATGTTCTCATGCGGTACAGACCTACTACACGCCTAAATTTGTCGTGGCTAAGCGTCACGGCGCAAATATCAAGGAGGGCATTCTTCAAGCTCCTGGTATCGCTGTGAGGTGCTGCGGCCTAGCAACTGCAGTGTGATTCTAACATGAACCTACCACGACCTACCTTGACCTACCTTGTTGCGATGCTGACAGCGGGCTAGCTTCACAGGAGAAGAGAGGACGTCGCTCTGCGCTATCTCGTGGATCAATTGATCGCTCCTCGTATTGATTCTGAGGTTGACTCGCCACTGTACGGTCAGTTTTTCATTGAACTCGTATCCGCATTTACGCACGTGGTCACGGACCTTTTCTTGTCTGATCTCCACTCCTCAGATGGGTGCCGCTCCGGAATCTGTACCCGAGCAACCACAGGTTATCGATTTATCTCTGCGCTTCCATGACCATAAAGAAAGTCGCGTTCTCCCACCAATCAAATAATCCCAGGGGCGAATGACGCGAGAATCTCATTTTATGTCCCGTACTGACCACCGTGTGGATTTTCCTAGTCGGTGTTCGGCGACGGACAGCGAGCGAGAGACCCCGGTGCGAAGATGCTGTGACGCAGCACTACGACCTGCCACAAGTGCACAACTGTAGCCAGTAATTAAATACATTAAGTAGGAAATAAAGATACAGAATATCATATGCTCCGTGTGGATGAGATGGTGACTATTGGCATCGTTCTATAGTGCAGCGAGCAGGGTTATGCCGTCAACTCTCCAACGCCCTGTCGATCTCGCGCACCGTATGTTGCCACAGCCGCGTCTTCGCCTCCTCTGACCCGAAGTACCTCGCCTTCCCGATGTCCTCGCCGCTCTCGTTCCTGCGATACGCGCCTCTGTCTCCTTGCAGCAGGCTCCACAATATATATTCGGCACAGGTTTTGGGGGAGAGGGAGATGGGGTATTTCAGAAGGGATGCGACGGCGAAGAAGGGGCTCAACGCCCAGTGCGGCGCCTTCACGTAGGACGTGCGGACGACCCCGGGGTAGACGTGGGTGAAGGCGATATCGGGGTGCGTGTCTGCAAACGACTGCTCGGAGACCAGAGTCAGAGCGGACAGCGCTCACGCAATCCCGAGCTACGACTCACCTCGACCATCAAGTCGTTGTACGTCGACGCCGCGGCGGCGACGGCGGAGAAGCTGTAGCGCGTCTCGAGCCCGAGGTTTTCGAGATCTATTGGCCCGCCCTTCCCCGCGCCGAATATCGTGACGACCTTGGCGTCCTCCCACGAAGACTTTGCCTTCCGCAGCAACGGAATGAGGTCGTATATGAACTTCCACCGGCCATAGTAATGCAGCGCGAGCTTGTAGTCCAGCCCCTCCGGCGTCTCTGTGCGCCCCGCTACGGTGAAGACGCCAGGAGAGAGAACGAGGAAGTTCAGTCGACCGAGACGCGCCTGCAGGGCCTCCGTCGTCGCTGCGACGCTCTTGATCGACGAGACGTCGCAGTGGACAAACTCGTGGGTTGCGTCGGGCGAGGTGGGAGTCGGGAAGGACGCGATGATGGATTCTGCCGCTGCGCTGTTGCGGCCGCAGATGATGATGTGCGCGTTGCCGTGGGTGTAGCGGGCGAACGCTTCGGCGACGGCTCGTCCGATTCCCGACGTGCCCCCGACGAAGAGCGCCACGGGGAGGTAGTGTGGCGCGAAGTCTGCGTTGCTCGCCCGAACCGTGACCAGCGAGGGCATCTTCCACAGTCGCGGTCCGTGCACCTGGAGATTATATGTTGCGGAGTGCCAGCACGTAGGCGTCTAGACCGCAGAGCCACGATTTTTTCTGGAAAACATCTCGGAGAACAGATTCTGAACAATGCAGATCACCGCAAAATGATGCGTCTTCCCAATCGTAGTTTATACCACGTGAGCGCGCCGACTCTTGTCAGAAATGTTGCTTATGCTTCGCCGGACTTCCTTCATTCTTACCAGATGCAATCGTGATGTTCACCACATTGGCACTCACTAGAAGTCTCGCGCAGCATCACCTTTTAAATATAAATGTTCCGAATTGACATTCTGTTAGTACAATAGCAAGACACGACGCTTCGGCGAGTAGCTTAGGCATCGCACGCAGCGCCAACGGAAGATACGCGTTACCAGAGACCACGCAAGACCATCAACTCTGTGACGCTCGGTCGACTTCCTCCACCGTATGATCCCAGAGGCGAGTCCTTTCCTCGTCTGAGCCGTAGTAGTTCTTCTTCCCGATGTCATCGCCATGTTCGTCTCTGCGATACGCGCCCTTCTGCCCCTGCATCAACGCGTACAGCATGTACTCCCCGCAGGTCTCGATGTCCACAGAAAAGGGATAAGTAGCATAAGTGACGGCCGCAGCAGCCGGACGGAGAAGCCAGTGCGACGAACTGAAGAGGCCGGTACGAACGATGCCGGGATAGCTATGTGTGAATGCGATGTTGGGCTGCTGCTGCGCGAAGGACTGGATACGATGACCAGATGAGCACGCCACGATGTCACTGATACATAAGTCAATTCGCGCACCTCCACCATCAAGTCGTTGTACGTCGTCGCCCCGAGCGCGGCGTTCTTGAGGCTGAAAGTCTTCTTCAGCCCCAGATCGTTGACATCAATAGGCCCGCCCTTGCCAGCAGCCAACACCGACAGCACCTTCGCGTCCTCCCCGCCGTCCTTCGCCTTCGCCAGCAGCGGAAGCAGGTCGCGCGTGAACTTCCACCGCGCGTAGTAGTGCAGCGCGAGCTTGTAGTCGATCCCCTCCGGGGTCTCGTTGCGCCCCCGCATCGTCATGATCCCCGGCGAGAGCACGAGGAAGTTGACCTTCGGGAGGCGCGCGCGCAGCTCCTGCGTCGTCGCCTCGATGTTCTTCATGCGCGAGGCGTCACATTGCACGAACTCGTGCAGCGCGGAGGGCGAGGTGGGTTTAGGGAAGGAGGCAATGATGGCCTCGGCCGCTGCGCGGTTGCGGCCGCAGAGGATGATGTGTGCGTTGCCGTGGGTGTGACGGGCGAAGGCTTCAGCGACGCCTTGGCCGATACCTGAAGTCCCGCCGACGAAGATTGCGACCGGGATGTACGATGGGGAGAATGCAGCATTGGCTGCGCGTACGGCGGATAACGAGGGCATTATGGGGACTGTTCTAGAGGGATGATGCATTGATGCCCTCAGCTTTCAATTATATAGTCTCATGTTGTCTTCTTTGTCAGAAAATTGGCTAGCCTAGCCGCAGGGTGACGCGGCGTGCAGGCGCTAGAACGCCGAGGTGATAAATCGCGTACTGGACGGAAGCAAACCTTCCTGGAGCCTGAATGAAATCTCTGAGCGAGTACACAAGAAACTCAAAAAGATATGTACAGTGCGCCACGCGACAAATCAAAGTTTGCAGCATTTTTCTTGGGGTAATTACAAGCAACTGCTCATACGCTCAAAAATCCTCGCTGACTCGCACAAAGCGGCCATTCGAAGTACGCAGATTGTTCGGTCAGTGTGACCGACGCAGGTACGCTCGATCGATATCGAGCCCTAGTACGTACCCGAGCGTGCTGCGGGATCGATTCACTAACCTTCAGCCTCGGGGAAGTCATGTTCAGGTAGACACACTCGTCTTGGCTTGTTCTAAAACTATAGGGAATTGCAGGACCGAGCCATATACATGATAGAGGAGGCCCGGGCTCGACAAGCACCTCCCGAGGTTCCAGATGTCGAGACCAGCAAACCCCAGTCAGCCTTGTGTGACGACGGTATCGGTATGTTGTTCTATGAAAAGCCACGTGTGAGCAGGTAACAACCCCAAGACAGCATATTTGCTCACTTTTATCATCTGTTCCTCGTACGTCGGCGCAAAACACGCCGCATCCCACGCGGTGAAGTTCAACCCGAAACCATACAGGTCAATCTCCGATACCTTGGCATCCTCCCAGCAGGTCGCACGTGAATTTCCACCGCGCATAGTAGTGCTGCGAGAGCTTGTGGTCGATCCCATTCTCGTGTCTCGTTGCCAGCCTCATTGCGGCGGAATAGGATAGTGCGTGCATTGCCTCGGGTGCAATATACCAACACCTTGGCCAATATTTGAGGTTCCGCCAATGAAGATCGTGACCGGAAGAAGAGCGGGAGAGCATGCAGGCGCGTACGGAGCGCACTGTGGGCGAAATTCAGAAAGCAGGCTCTAGATGACAGTCGAACGAGACGTGCCTCCATTCTGTAAGCCTCTGGTAGAATGGTCGCTCCCTGTAAGCACGAAGGAAGGAAGATCGTGTCAATACACGAAGAACTGCCCGAACAGTATCTGCATGTTTGTTGTCACGATGAGATGTAACGTGAACATCGTGCATGTCATTACTTGTAGGGACAATAAAAGCAGAAAATTCACATATGTGCCTACTTTTGTCGTCGCGATCACTGCGATCGGGTTAGACACGACACACAATCGGGTGTTCTCAAGTCATGCATGCATTTTCCAAATTTTAGAACTCCTCCGGGGACCAATACCAGTTCTGGATGACAAGTGCAGGCCAGACGTTTGCGGCAGAAGTAGAATGTACCTGGTAGAATCAAAAGACACAGCGAGTGTGGACGGTTCTACCCTCCCTCTGGATATTGGTGTCGCTAAGTGAACGATGTTTGCAATTGCTTGAACGTTGTTTTCTAGAGCTGTGTACTTTGCACTAATGGTGCACGAGAGAGTACTAGTCTCCGGATCAAAAATCGCTAAGACGTCTTGTAAGCAATCTGGTGTCGGTGGAGTGATGCAGGACACAGTCTGGCTCATCAAGTGCGCATAGCCTGAGCTAACAGTGAAATGACTTCATCGGCATTCTACACGCAGGAAAACTGGTGGCTAAGAGCGTCGTGAAGGCAAAGTTGATCTGAGTTTTTGAAAGTAGTGCTTCGGCATCATCCGGATTACGTAGTTCCAGCGCTTCATCAGCGCTCCCATGAGTGTTTCCGTTCAACGCGGAGGCCGCCGCCCTCTGCGTGTCTGAAGATGGCAGCGATATACGTACGAATATTAATGTCTTTCTATGTCCCCAATATCGGTGCTCATGTATTGCTATCGACATAGCATCATTTTTAGTCTACTTGTGAGACTCCTTTTAACTCCAATCACTAACGCTTTATTTGCGCTGATCTCTGGAAAAGATGCACAACATGGAGAACACCCCCAAATCTCAATAACATCATCTGTTCGTACTGCAGCGCCGAGGCGTGAATGGGGCCCAACTGTTATGGGGTGACACCCTATGAAGCGCCCGTGAGGGCTGTCCGCCCCTTTTCTTTCAGAGCCGTTCGTGCTATGGTGGGTGCTCGGGTAAATCTATGGAAAAATTCAAGCTTTGTCGTTCATTTCTACCACATTTTGTGTTGGTAAGCTTGCTCCATCTACTCAGGTACTTCCATCCTGCAACCAGCTTCCCTCTCACCGGCTTGTGAATACATGCATGCCAGTGAGTACTGGCTGCTTGGCAGCTGTACTTCAAGATGCCTGGATTCTCTTCGACTGCTTTAGTTTCTCGTACCGTCGAGGTGATAAATATTTCCTTCTTCCACGGTTATAGAGTGATGATCATTACTACCCATCAGAGCATTTTCCATTGTAGGAGAACTTGTGCCGGCCGCTAACAAACACGCTCTTGGAAAATACAGCTCTGTAGGGTAAGTAGATGCTTTCGTACCCTTTCTGCTTTGGTTATGGGTGCGTGCATATTTTTAAATGCATATATCCTCAAAAACAGTTACGGATACTTGCCGCTGTAATACATGCACCATTCAAACTAATGTCGAAACGGAAAAGAACAGTTCAAATGTCTTAACATTGCCCCGCCTCCTCGGCCCTCCCGTGTTTTGTCGCACGCACTCATTGTCTACAAGCTATCCTATGATCTGTGGTGCAGAAGCCGCGTACCGTAATGCTAGAATCATGAGTGCCGCTAACCCCAATGTGATTCGGCTGACGGAAATCTACGCACTCCAAGCGGATGAGCAATACTGACAGTCGAACTGGTCAGAAGGCAACGCCGCTATAGGTTATTTCAGCTGCAGCAGACAAATTACGTTGTGGGTGTATTGGTCGCAGATCTGCTCAGAATTATCTGAGACTCATCCGTATCGTTTAGCGCACTGGGATTAGCCAGAACGTAAAATCCCTGGCGAGAATCGTACGACGGGGTAGTTATTCCATCACTTTCCAGGTACATCATCTCGCCATGCAAATCCTCCAGAGGGTGCTCAACACAGGTCGTGCTGCAACGGGATTATACAATCTGATAGATCTGGTACATTGAAACAAGATCGCCGCGGCCCCACTTTGGTGCAATCATACACGCGTTTATGCTTTGGCCCACCGTCCCTCAGACGCTGGGAGTCGCAAATGAATGCTCTCGCTCTCCACATGCCTAGTCCATCGCCAGAGTAAGTCTCTGAGATCACTCTGAGACTGCGAAACTCCCCACCATACTTCTTACGTAGCTCTATCGATCCACAACTGAAACACTTTCACTACAGCCGAGCAAGAGCCTTGAGCGCAGGTTACACGATCTCCCACTCATCTAACGGCACTACGAAGGTTTCCAGCGTGTTTCGTCTATACTTGGATGCATCAAATTTTCTGTGCGTACTTATTAGTCTCAGCCGAGTTAGCAGCCGAAATTCACGCCACCGCGTGGCTGCTTGTGGAAGAGGATGCGTACACTGCATGCAACGAGTATGTCTTTTTTATTCAAGCTCCAGATAGTCTCAGAAGGCTAAGGTGTCTCTGCGAAGGTTTGCGGTCCCACACGCGCGCTCAAGGTAATTTACCCAATGTCCCGGAAAAGCCGAACGAAGTTGTGAAAGTGCGTACTTTAGTTGGTTTGCCGGACGCTTCGCCATCAGTAACACTGAGAGAGAAGCTTTTAGCCGAAGCGAAATTTTGAACGAAAATTTGGGGGCCATGGGAGTACACTTTAACGAGCACGTCCGAGTCGGCGCACAGCGGGACGCGCATGCATAAAAGGCCGAGTTGTTCAACAATTCTTTCCCCACTTGTGTAAGCATCACTCTACAGTCATGCGCTCGTACACTTTTCTCGCTCTTGCTGCCTTCGTCGCGTTTGCTAGGGCTACGACTGTGAGTCTTTCCCGCCGGCAGGCCGAGTGCCCTGAGGCCTACACTGGATAGTGCGTAATGTCTTTGATTGGTGTATCACATCGGTTTATTGTATGCGTCATAGTTTGTGCTACGGCGAGGAGATCATTCTCTGTCAGAATGGGGAGCCAGACAATAATTACTCCGGAGTCGAGTGTAACGTATGTCTGAACTTATCCATGAGCTGTATTCTTCTCTAATCTCCATTTTACCAGCCTGGTTACCTTTGCTGGGCGACCAGCGATGAATACGGATGCTCTTAAAAAGCGGTCACTGGTGAGTGCTTGTCAGAGTGTGTTCGCATGAGATCGTACTTGCTGATTTTTCGTGCAGTCTTAGAGCCGGTCAGCTTGCTTCTGAAAGCTCAGCGTGTGGTGCGGTGGTAACTTTGCACTCGAGCGTAGTCGCATGACTCATTTGTTAGTTTGTTATTGGTGTCAATGGTATCAGTTGAGGGTTTGCTGGAGATACTTATTCGTCGTGCAGGAAAGTTCGTGCGATTGTTGGATTTGAGAGTGTTTGAAGTGTTCGGCGGCACTTATGTTCATTGGTCTTCTATTATTTGTTGGTGATATCAACGGTTCATATCGTTTGCGTGCACGAAAGTTTGTGCGATTTTTGGATTTGAGAGTGTTTGAAGTGTTCGGCGGCACTTATGTTCATTGGTCTTCTATTGTTTCTTGGTGATACCAACGGTTCATGTTGTTTGCGTGCGCGACGCGCGCGCGGCGCAAGTGGCATGTGATCGCGAAGTTTGTGACGTCACGCGTTTACTTGTAACGCGCGCCAAGGCTCGGAATTTGGAGAAGAAGCAGAAGTGCGGCGTTGCAGTGACCGCGGGCTGTCGCCAGAAAGACGCGATAGGTATGAATCGAAACACATTATGTAGTAAGGAGCGCAGGTGCCCCCCTCGCCTGGACAACTACGGTGTACATAAAGTAAGTATGAATTAACAGGCAAGCTGAAACTTTACAATGAGAAAATGACATCATAGATCACAGTCACTCCCTTCATAGCCTTAGCTTCGCGGAAAATCTGAGATGTGCTTCGACGCAGCTTCGAGAGGACAAAGATGGCAAAATGCAGTAGCAAGATAGCAACAAGCTAAAATTAAAGGCATTCACGGAAGTGTAGATCATCCAAGTTGATTCGGCGAATTATCTAACCATAATTCGTCCCATCAACTTTGACCATCTGCTTTCTTGAGTTGCTAAGGTCGACACAAGAGACCGTAGTTGGGCTTGGAGACTCTGATACGTGTAGGGAGGGAAGGTGAAGGTGATTCCCAGGCTCATGTTCTTGTATCTTTGTTCTGTTGTTTTCTTCCCGTGTCATATTGATTGTGCTCGACCTGAAACAATGGCGACTTCAGCGAAGTACGAACGACGACAAGAAGCAGGGAGGATATGTCCGTGCCATCAGCGGAAAATGCCCTTGATGTCTCGGGGCGCCTTTGTTCAGGATATTTACGCGCAAAAGCTTGCTTGCGTGCGCTCATCGTTCCTTCGTTCATTAATTTCGGTGAGGGGAGTCCGCATTGTTTGAGGCTAAGAGCCGGCGCCTCCAATTCGGGCATAGCGAAAGCCAATAGGACAGACTGGTGCAACGTTGCTAGACGAAGCTAGAAAAAAATTGCGACAGGGAGGAGTATGGAAAACTCCAAGCCTCTTCGCTCGTTCGCGGACGTTTGGAATGTTGTGACAGTACTATTTCAAAGTGGTCTCCACGAGCCAATTCAGTTGAACGAGACTGTGTTGCGGTCGAGGCTGTCGCGCTCCCGCGGCTCCAATAGTGTTCTGTCGGTCCGGCGCATACGTGGAGGTCGACATGCGGGAATGGGCCAGACAAGACAAGAATATAGAACACAACTGAGCGCATCGCCCAGCGTCCACTCAGCGGCGAAACACGAACGACGAATACATTGCACCGCGCCGCGAGCGACCATTCGGGGATCAGGGTTCCCTATCTCATTCTCCTGGAGCAGCAACACGTCAGATCACTGCTTACTAGGCCAGTGCCAGGGATCAAACCATCTCCTGGAAGTATGATTGATAGCCGCCGGGGTGGGAGCCCAATTTCAGGCTGAGTGCCCCGGGAGGTTTGTGACCGGTCGTTCCTCGCTGGCTAGACCGAATACCTCGAGCGAAGTCGAATAGCGTGGTGGCGGACCAATGAAACTTTAGTGTCGCTGGAAAGCGCGGAGCGGCGGTAAGTAGCTATTGCATCACTTTCGCTCTACGCAATTGACGCCTACAGGCTGGAACGGTCCGATGATTGACGCTTTCACAGAGCCTCGCTATATCCACCGAGGAGTGGGGGACACAGTACAGAAAGAAGATCACAAGGGCACTCTCATCCCGCGGCACTGGTAGGAGCCGCAAATTGCCCTGCTGCGACACGGAGGTACAGGTTGACTGAGGGTGACGCAACGCAGAAGAGTCTGATAGCGATAGTAATACCTCTCTCCTCCTGCGGCGATGGTTCTGAATCACAGCATTAATACAATGTGGAAGGAAAAAGAATTCGGTGTACTGTCGCCTCCGCTGAGGTTCCAAACACCGGAGGGTGTCTAAGGCAGGTATTCCCGTTAGAAAAATATTTTGTTTTCCGTCGTGGTGCAGGAAAAGATCCCAGCACCTTTCTCTTCCCGCGGAGCTGGCTGCGGACCCATGTCAATACGATGTGGAAGTAAGGAGAAAACTGACGAACTTCGTAGCACTGGTGTCTGAAGTGGATATTTTCAACAGAAAATAAATCTCAGCAATGCAGAAGGGTCCTCCTACTGATCAGTTGGGACCTGAAACTGCAACAAATCGCTCGCGTTAGCCCATCGAGGATTTCGAACCCCCAACCTTCACAGCAGCAACTCTTGCTTTTGGGATAAGATTCTGACGCTCTATCCAATTGAGCTAGACTTCGGGCTATGGGATAGCCCGTAGAGGACGCTACCTTGTAGACGACCGAAATCCTCGGCCTCTGGATCGCTCCGAACCAACTCCGAAGACACTGAGCCTTCTCTCTCGCTAGAAAGAGGAGCTGGTGCTGATAACTGGCCCATACAATCTAGCTCGTGCGGAAGACTAAGAGGGGTCGGACTCCCGTAGACCCCAACGAGGTAGTTTGGAGAAAACGGCACCGAGTGAAGTGGATGAGAAGAGGGGGGTGGCGCGATTTACGCCTACGTCATGCGGTGACCCGCACGCGTTGAGCCAGCCGCCCAGTACGGGTGGCGCAGGCAGGCACGATAGCTCGCGATAGCACGCCGGCGGCCTATGCACCGAACATTGAAACTTTGCTCACGCGGAGCACGCGTGATGGCGATGACGAGCAGTTTTGTTCTCTGAACATGTTGTGATAGAACACGTTGCATGGCACGGGCAGCCGGTGTTGAGCCATAATAGGCGCCGTATCGAGCTGCCATCAACGAAAATCAAACACGACGACTGGCGCTCACATCGCGAGGGTGGAACATGGAACATGGAGGGATTTATGCCTGTATCGGTCGGAGGCGTCGGGCGACGGGTATCGGCGTTGCTTGCGAAGGCGGAAACCACGCAGCGCAGCTTGCGGACAAGACGGCGCAGACGGACAAAGAGGAGATAGAGTTGCAACACGAGGTGGTCACGCTGCCCAGAGATTGTTGTCAGTGGCGTATGAAAGTCGAGCGCAAATGAAACTCCCCGATGGCGCAGCACTGTGGAACCGCTGCGGCGGAGTTCACCGGGGCCATCAGCACGTGCAGGCCAAGAATGAATGTACGACTCTGAGGTCGGGGATTTGTGGCGCGCCTACAGTGCAATGGACGCGTAAAGGAAGGCCGGAATCATTGACCTTTGCAGCCACTCATTCTGCCGCAGCGTTACCGCTCGGAACAATGATAACAAAGTCACGCGGAGAAATGTTGATGCTCGATACGTCGACGACAAAGGTGGCGGGCCCATCGGTGGCTGCAGCGGCAGCAATACCGTTGCCGCGAGTGGGGACGGGGGAAGGTACTGCGCCGAATGGCTACGACGTTGGCGAGATGGGGCAACAGTGGCCGAAGAGCATCTTTCGCTGCCCCGATCGCTCTGATCACGATTACCGCACTGGCAGTGGCAAGGCGAATGCCGGGGGTGGCCATCTCTGGAAACTGGGGACGCCGGACACGCATGGCACGGGGCGTTGGCAGAGAAGTCGAAGCGGGAGAAGTCGAGATACTAAGATTGTGAGGACGCCCGAGTATCGTACTCTGGACTCGTATGGATGTACTGACCGTGACAGTGTAGTGGACCGGGGCGGGGTGGCCGTGTAGAGTGCGAGTCATTCCTGAATTTCTAATTGCTGCGGGTGGTTCAGACTGGTGCTATTCTCCGACCCTTGTCCCCCTTCAGCAGGCTAGATTAGATCCGGTTTTGCAATAGGAACTTTTGAGCGGGGGAGGATAATGCAGGCAGCGGACACTAGCATAACTCGTGTCTCTGAAGCCTGAACTCCATGAGATGGCAAGAACAGCTTGGAAATACGTGTACTGATGAGCTACCGGGACCGCAAGAACAAGACACCCTTGACATTGATTCATGCAGATCTCCGTCGCGACGGACATTTACACGATACAAAGTGCCAGAAAGCCACTTGAGATATAATGCGCGTCGCTGCGCGAACGAATCAAGATCTGAGAACAATGGTGGTGCGTCATTCGCTCCCGGGATTATTTAATTGGTGGGAGAACGCGACTTTTTTTATGGTCACAGAAGCGGAGAGATAACCTGTGGTTGCTCGGGTACAGATTCCATAGCGGCGCTCCCATCTGAGGAGTGGAGATCAGACAAAAAAGGTCCATGACCATGTGCGTAAATGCCGATACGAGTTCAATGAGAAACTGACCGTACAGTGGCGAGTCAACCTCAGAATCAATATGAGGAGCGATCAATTGATCCACAAGATAGCGCAGAGCGACGTCCTCTCTTCTCCTGTGAAGCTAGCCCGCTGTCAACATCGCAACAAGGTAGGTCAAGGTAGGTCGTGGTAGGTTCATCCTAGAATCACACCGCAGTTGCGAGGCCGCAGCACCTCACAGCGATACCAGGAGCTTAGAGAATGCCCTCCTTGATATTTGCGCCGTGCTGGTGCGATGTGTCCGCCACACCCCGACATGCACCGCGCTCAGATGCTGTGCGACGCCCACATTCGCTGCTTTAGTCTTGAACGCTCCAAGGTCGGCGCTACGAGGTACACTCGACAAACCCCTCGCAACCCTGCTGTTGAGCAGGGTGATCCGGCGTCGCAGATGGCACTGGCTCACCGTCATCGACCTCTTGTATCTGGTATTTGGTCTGTGGTCTCGCACGCCGCCATGACCTGTGTCAGCAGATAGATTCCATCTACGCGCCTTCTCGGGAAGGCCCTCCGACATCGAACACATCGCTGATGTCATGACTCGATACGACTGGGCACCTGGACAGGTGAGATGACTCGACGTAAATTACGTGCGCAGGGGAAGTGCGTCACAGAGGATAATGACTCAACTGAACGCCTTCCGCGAGGACGCCCTACGTAGGTGATGCCATACAGCTTGCCGCTATGTCCTGGCGCTCCTCGGAATAGCGCCCAACCTCGCGGATACCCTGGGACGCCTAGTGCTTCGCCTTCGCGTGGCTATCCCATGGGAACCATGAAGTACTCGTCGAGTCATGGCATATCGCCGCAGAGTAATACATGTGGGATGCAACAGCAGTAGGTCCGAATATTTTGCATCTAGCAGACAATGTTGTAGGTCCAACGGAAGAGACGGTGCTGGTAGCCAAGGGCGTCTGGGATATAACGAGGCAGGTGTTTGCGGACAGCGAGCCGATCCCACTCAGCCCAAGTGTGCTAGACCCGCTGAGGATCTTCGCAGAAAAAGCGCCAACGCTGCGGATACAAATGAACTCGGGTACGCGCATCCATGAAGCCATGACAAGGTAGGCATGTGGATGGTACGTACCGCACGAGAAAACGGCCAAAGGCTGGCCTTGAACTAGGTCCGACAGAAATTGCTAAGCAAGACAGGGATTGTGATAGTAGTCTGCGAATGAATCTCTGTGAATTACGAATTAGAAACGCCCCGCTGGCCGAGTTACATAGGTAAGTAGAGTGGCCAGGTGTACTTCCAGGAGCTTTCGCTTGTGCCATTTTCGATGCACCAAACATACGTTGATGCATAGAATATGGCCTTTTCACCATGCTCGTACCATACGATAAATGCACGACAACAAGATGCTATTCACAGGACCGGGAAGTAAACGGTCACCAGTACTTTGACACGACAGAACGGGAAGGCATCGGCCCTCGACGGCGTGGCCTTAGTGATGAGAATGCGCTTCCTGCAACATATCATCAAGCAGCTCGACCTCGTCGATAATGCCCTTCGGCATGCTGCCCTTTACCACTTCACAAAGGATCTCCTTTGCCGTAATGAGGTAGGCCCTCTGCCCAGGAAGTTCTGCCTCGCAAAGATTGTGCGCAACGCTGTCTCGAGTCTCCGTAATGTAGGCCTGGCGCGCAGTCGTAAGACAACTGCCCTCGTCTTCGTCTTCCCCAAAATCCAGGTCCATCATAAGATTCGCGATGTGCTGAGTCGATTTGGAGCGCACGATGTATGTCGGTATCTGGAAAAGCGCCGCGTTCCGCAGTAGAGCGATGTCTGTCTCAGTGAAACGGTTGTCGAAGAGCACAATTATGGCGTCGAAGATGTAGAGGCCATAGTCGTTGAAGTACTGCCAGTCGGGTATTGCCAATGTCCCGGCCCCGGGCACGTCGTACCAGACGAACGGCCTCTCAGAATTCGAGTCTGGGTACCGCGCGACAATCCTCGTCGTCTCGGTGACGCCAACGCGCGCCGCGCCCTTGTGACTGTTGCTGATCCCTCGGAGAGCATTGATGAGCGACGACTTGCCACTACCTGCAATGCCAGCGACCGCGAAGTGTAGCCTCCCCTCATGGTACTGCAGCCGTTCCTTGTGAATGCGGATCTCCTCCTCCGTCGGCCATATTACAGGACGTATTCCGGCTTTCAAGTTTTTCTCGGCCTCCTGCTGTGCGAGTTGAGCCTCTTCCGCCGCACTCTCAGCCGCTGCAGAGGCTCGTTCTGCGTCTTCTTGAGCAGCCCTTGCCTTCTCCTTGGCTTCCTCCGCTCTCTGCCTCTCCTCCTCCGCTCTCTTGCTGTCTTCTTCGGCTCGCCGTCTTTCCTCCTCCGCCCGCCGTTGAGCCTCTTCTGCACGTCTCCGTTCTTCATCGGCCTGGCGCCTCTGGGCTTCGGCCACCCGGCTTGCCTCCTCTGCACGCTCCTTCTCCTGTTGCGCTCTCTGCTTCTCTTCGTCCGAGCGACGCCTTTCCTCCTCTGCACGCCACCGCTCAGCCTCTGCACGCTGGCGCTCTTCATCTGCACGCCTCCTTTGTTCCTCCGCTTCCCACTTCGCGTGCTCCGCACGTCGCCTCTCCTCCTCGGCGCGTTGCCGCTCCTCTTCGACACGTCGGAGCTCCTCTTCAGCACGTTTTCGGCTCTCTTCCGCCTCCCATCTTTCATTCTCAATGCGCCTCTGTTCTTCCTCCATGCGCCACCTCTCATGCTCTGCTTGTCGGCGCGCCTCGTCTGCGCAGCGCCGTGCCTCTTCAGCCTGCCATCTTTCGTGTTCAGCCTGTTCGCGCCTGCGCTGCTCCTCGCGAGCGCGTTCCTCAGCCTGCCACCTCTCGTGGGCCTCCTGTTCGCGCCAGCGCTGTTCCTCGCGAGTGCGTTCTTCAGCCTGCCATCTCTCGTGGGCCTCCTGTTCGCGCCTGCGCTGCTCCTCGCGAGCGCGTTCTTCAGCCTGCCATCTCTCGTGGGCCTCCTGTTCGCGCCTGCGCTGCTCCTCGCGAGCGCGTTCTTCAGCCTGCCATCTCTCGTGGCCCTCCTGTTCCTGCATTTGTATGTTAGAATTGGACGTGCGAGTAGAAGAGTTGGGGCACATACAGCACTCTGGGCGTTACCCATGAACTTTCGCGTACGACTATGGGCTGAGGTGACGTGAATCTCTGTAGACGAATATGGTTCAATGCTTTCACGGGGTTTAAGCCACTTACTCGACGCTTTCGTATCGTGGATGCTGCACAGAGAAGAGTGGGGTGCTAGGAGTGAACATGGCAGGGCGACTATATAGTTGACGGAGATGCGCGAGAACCATGGAACATGCATATGTCGCGTTGCAAACCTTCCAGGATAGTTGGAGCCTCATGTCCACCTCTGCATGCACCAGCACAATTTGAGAACAACGAGAGGAGCATTTTCGACATCCTGTGCCGTCGATCAGGCGAACCGGAAGCTGCACATCGAAATATGAGAAACACCGTTAAGTGAAGTAGGGAACGACGTCGGCAGTATTTGACAAAAGTAGCGTTTACGACCCTATGTAGCGCCCGCCATATACTCTCACGCAGCCTAGCCAGCGTGCAAGAGAGCTCCCGTTCGTCCGTTAGGGCGTGATTACCATAAGCCGTCATTCATGGCTCCAGGCTCCGTGCCAGTCACGAACCGCACAGGTACACTCGCTGCGCGGGCAACCCGCAGCGGAGAGGTTTGCGCGCAACGATGCCACGCGTCTCGCAAACGAAGTTTCGTGATAGAGTTTTTTGCGCCATGGCCAATTTCAGGAGGTGGGCTCACCATCACTGCCATGCGTGACCGCATACTTGCTACCTAATTCCGAACTTACTGAGTACCGACAAATAACGCACAGATCGGGGTCGTCCTCGCAAACGCCGTTCTCGACTATGTCGCGGATAAAGTGGTATCGAATATGGATGTGTTTCGTTCGGGCATGGTGGGCGTCGTCCTTGGTGGGTGCGATGGCGGACTTGTTGTCGCTGTGTAAGCGCACGGCGTAGCAGTGAGCGTCGGGGCGGAGGATGTCGGCGAGAAGGGAATGGATCGTGTCGACGACCGGTCGGGCCTGCATACAAGTGAGCATGCAGAAGACGTTGATCAACAAGAAGTTGCCGGTCCCAAAGTGCGAGGGTGCACTGTCCTTATAGTTCCTCCTCTCTTCCTCGCGTCCGATTATGTTGCCCCACTGATATTGCAGCCATCACATCATCGGCGACGACCTCCGTCACGTCCAGCGACATTGAAGAAAATTTCTGTATGCGTGCTTCCTCCTCTGGTTCGTGCCACGGACGGTGCAGATAATTAAACACTGGTGATTAACAGCCCCAAATTGCAAGGTGCAGATTGTGCCCGATCTGCGAACATGCCCAGATGTCAGGAGTGTTAGTCACTAATGAGAAGTACGTACCTCGGGAGCTAGCAACGCCAAGGACGAAGATCCAATAAGAGATGATGGCGCCGCCCATGTTCTTCGTGCGATGTTCCGCTGATGTGGATTCTGAACGGATGGTTAGTAATAAGAGTCTTCATACCCCCTGTTGAACGTGGCTGGACGTAAATATAGAGGACGGGCCGAAAGCGAAGGCGAAGCGTAACAAGGACACGAGACCCTCTGCTGAGAGCGGCAGATAGCGATCACCATGCACTTGAGATCAACTGCAACTTGCTGATCACGCAAATGCTAGACGGTGCACTAGTATCACAGTGAAACGATTTCTGATATACGTGAGCACGAGCGGAGCACGGGGCTGGCAGAAGCGCAGCATGTAGAAAGACACAGGGCACACAGACGCTAACTTCGACATCCGAGACACTCCACGGAGACTGAGCAGTAGACCGGCACTACAAGTGTTACCGAGAAATCCAATACGTATCTTTGCGGTCGTAAAGAACACAATGATCATCTCTGACACACAGGTAATAAGGCAACCAACGACTGCACGGTCGGCAGGTGATGTGGAGTAGATGAGTTCCACCATGCGCAGCCATCCAACAAGTAGGGAAGTCTCGGCCCAGCCTAACAAGCAGGAATATCGGAAGCCTGGGGATGCGCAAACAAGGTAGCTGTGAAATAGATGGATTCCAAGGACGACGCAATTGACTCAAAAGGGATCCAAAACAAGTAAGATGGTCCAGGACGGAAGAGAGTTGCCCCGACAGCGTGAAGATCCCGAGAATACCGGACATGAAAGCCAGTGAAGGGGGAATCAATCTCAAGATTAGGATGCCCAACTGAGCACGGTCCTAGTTCAGCGCTCGTGAGACATTAACTGTGGGCCCCCGAGCCTTACAAATGGATATTTGCCCTACAATTCTCTCGATACGTAGCTCCATGATCCTTCTTGCTAGGCATAGTGAGGTAACCGTGAACCCCGAATGGTACGGGATAAGTGATATCATGCGGCTTGAAGACAGCGCCTTCAAAGTTCGCTTACGCCGTTGGTATTGCGGATCGGCTCGTACCCTCAGTATTTCTGCAAAGCAGAGGAGAGGAAGGTACAAGAACTACACACCCGCGTAAGCTAACACCTGCTAGGCACCGATGCGGTGTAAACAACAGGCTCGGGATTGTTCCGGATCCTTTAAGATACGCCACCTTCGAGAATTACGGTCACGGCACAACTCCGAGATCGCAGCAGCAGAGCAACAGAGACACCTTGTCCTGGCAGAAATGGGCGATGAGGAACGGAAGCAGCCTTGCATGCAGCTCGCTTTATCGCGCTGTGGTAGTTCGAGGATATGTCCCCCGATAGCCTGCACAGGAGGGCAAGTGAAATAGGGTTCAGAAAACTTTCGTGATGTCGGCGGTGCGTCAGCCTTCAAGCTTCAGGAACGTGTTTCCTGGTCAACATCAGAAGGATCCGAAATGGCGGTGAAGGCCAGTTTGACTGCCAATGGCACCACAGCAAGAAAGAGATTGTGGACCTTCCAACAGGAATGATCCTTGCACACCCCGCGCGTGACAAACTCCGAAAATGAATGGGTAGAGATTCAAGAAGATCCGGGCGCGTGAATTGTGGAGTTCCGAAGTTCATAGCCTCCAGCGTCCGAACTGGAACGAGGACGAGAAATTGCATCAATTCAAAAAGAGGTATTGTGAAGGTTGGATAGGATGGCGCGGCCAAAGTGAGTCCTAGCGCCCGAAGGATTTAGACTTCGATATGTATGTCCTTTTACATACATACCAATCCACATTGTTTCTCGTCCTGGTCGTCCGTGTTTTGCCTGCAAGGAGTGCACAGCATGGTCTGTTACGGTGTGTTGGCCGGGTCGCAGGGCAGTACCGTAACGATTTCGCAAATTGCCGATCAGTGGCAACGCGTCTTCCACGCTCAGCTGTGGCGGGCGGTCATCGTGCTGCGGCGTAGAAGTCCTCCTCAGAATCGAAAACACTCTACTAGTACCTCATTGATGTTTCATGATGCCCGACTGATTTTCACTGAATAGAGAGTAAAGAGGAAATACGTCATATTCGCACTGAATCCTGCTTTCAGCAACGGCGCAATTGCTGTACCACCCCGGCGAGCGAGCGGGAGGCCGCAGCCATTTCTAGCAGACCTTGTCCCTAGCCACTCAGTAAGGGATTCTCTTGTATCCTGCTTACATAATGCAATGTACAGAGAACCTCAATTTCGAACCAGCGACTTCCTGGTAGTCTCGATCCACATTCGAGTGGTGCCATGTTTCCTCTTGCCCTCTCATGTGAGGCTGGAGTTACGGAAATGAAAACCTACTTTTAGCTGAACAAACTCGTTGCCAGCATCTCAACATTCTGGCAATTGAGAACTAACGTTCATTTGGACAATCTATCCTATGGAGTTCCCTCTTTTCTTCCGAGAGGTAAGTACCCCCGTCGTGTCTGCCGATTTGCTGATGAGATATTGCCCAAGATTCAGGACGTCTTCTCTGGTCTGGTCGATCGTGACCGTACATATGCCGCCGGCTTGATGTTTGGACGGATCTCGCAACCTGGACCTCATGCAGTGCGTCCTCAGAAAGGCAAGTGCAGAGGGTTTTGTGTACTAGTTTGAAATTCCTCACCGCAATCATAGCCAGCCTCTCTATGGGTAAACTCTGCACCTGTCTGTCTGTTGTAATATTTTTTTCGGACCGTCCTGTCAATCCGAATCCGCAATACCGCGTCATCTTTCTGTAATATCCATCGCTCAAAGGTATTGCAAAGCCTCAGGTAGACATGTCTCGAATCTTTTATAGTCTTAAAAAGACAAAGGCGGTGCGGCCGCCACTGATGACTTGCCTTCTACAGCCTCCCTAGCCAGTCCGCCGGCTGTCCTACTGCCACACCGTGCTGTATCCCGTCATTGGCTGAGTGCGTCGGATGATGTGCGAGTATTATCTTATCGTTCTACTAGGATCACAGCTATTATTACACGCAAGAGGTCGTATGCCTTCGCAAAAACGCGAGAATGACTAAGACATGGAAAGTGTTTGGTCTGGTGTGTATATTGCTGCGTGCGCCCTGAAACAACAAAGGCGTATAAGCAAGTCTCATAACTCAGCCAAAACCCCCTCGCTGACACCATACTTTCTTTCCACTACCCATGGTTCACAAGCACGTACACTTCGCGACTCTTTCCGACTCGTCGACGTCAAAGCCGGCGTCACCTTATCCAGACGATCAATCTTCCTCCAGCGACGAGCTGAAGCCCCTCACCACCGAAAGTGTCGTCAGCCACTCTCACTGCACGGAAGACGCACAGAAGCAATGCAGAGCCCGTAAGCCCTGCTGTGATGCCTCCAACTTCTCTTCCTGACTTCATCCTCCTCTCCCTCAGCGGCAGACCCAACGACGACTGAGACTTTGTCGCCGGCGCCATCTCAGCCACTGCCCCTCGGGACGTTCGTTGTTCCTTTGCCTACAGTGTGTGGTTCCGGAGTCTCCTCCGCCGTTCTCCCCTCGTCGTCGATACCTGAAGGAGAGCAATTTTCCGCACCTCCAGATATGTCTGCAGTATCCCCCATTGTCGTTCCTGTTCTGAGCGATCCTACCTTCCGATGGGACATCAGCGAACACCCACACAGGGTCTTTGAGAAGGCTGCGTTCGTCTATGAAGCCGCTACGGAACCTGCGGCGAGTTCGATTATTGTCCGCATCAAAGTTGAGAGCCTCATTTGGGATATTACAGTCGACGGGTCCCCATTTGTCACTGTCGAGGAAGTGTTGGCGGCAGTTTACCGCTGCATCAGGGCATTTGTTACTCCCGCTGAGTACGACAAGTTGGCCGATAACGAGCTCCTGTTCGATCAGACGAATGCATCGTGTACGGAACGCCACGCCGTGGATGGAGGACGCGGAGGGGTGCGGAGGATCGACCTCCTCGACACCCGGATTTTTGACGGATTTGCACCGGCTGCTGATGGGGCATGGCTGGTGAAGACGCGAGGGGCGCTGTGAGCCTTCTCGACGGCGAGAGCACTCACATCCTTCTTGTCGTCTTCTCTCTCGTCGCTGTGAGCGGTCATCACCAGTGGTTGTTTTGTTGCTCACGATACTGTTGCTCTTGATGTCTGCCGTGTTCTGTGTTGCTGCTTCTTTAGCTTTGTGTCTCGTGTCTCGTTGTCACGGTCCTTGCAGTGCATATACTGAGCATAGTATTCATTATAGTCCTGCATGGCACATTGTATTGTGCATCTTGATCCCACGCACCTAGACCATGGTGTCTCTGTACTTATAGCATCGTTTTCTCTTCATACCTGCTTAAGTGGCAAATATATCAGTTATTTCGCACTTCGTGGAGCCTCTAGATGATCTGTACTACGCGTTTTCACAAGTTTTGCGAGCGAGCGGAGCATTGATCGACTTCTAAATTTAGAGAGGATTGGCTAGCTCTAGTGCTACAAGCACGACAGGTGAGCGATAGTCGAAGTCATTCTCGGAGCGGAGCGACGATCCTCCGATATAGACTGAGCTCGAACGACACATAACCCCTGCAAACGCTTAAACAGATCTAGAGTTACAGTGACCTCAGCGACAGCGTCAATGCAGTGCATGTCCCTCCATTCGTGCACCCCATCTCGCGGCCTGTGTCAAAGCAGGTCGGATGGGTCGAAGATAGCACAATCAATCATAGTACGGAAAATAGTTCGAACAATCGTTCTACTAGAAGTTCCACTACTGCAGCGTCGACCAGATCAGTCCACCTCCCGGTACAGACCTTTAAAAGTTAACAACTTCGCCACAACCAATGGTATGCGACATATATATCGTTTACGCACAAGCCTGCCGTAATTGCGGCTGAGGATAAAGACAAGGGCTCAAGAGACTTGTTGCTAGGCGTAGGAAAAGCGCAACATCGAAGGCAGTTCAGAGGACAGCAAGATCGAGATGGGCGAAGTGGGTGCACGCAAGGATTACTGTACACGTTTCGACGAGACCAACAGAGCAATTCAAGAGACCATTGCAGGATGATGGACGTAAGGCTAGAAGCAGAAAATCTCAGTATTCGAGGAAATAGAGAGCGTGTGGAACGGAGATGCAGATCGTGCGACAGCTGCGGGAAGTAGCACCCTTAGTCGCGCTCCAGTTAAGCAGATCTACAAACAGCACGTGAGCCGGATCTAACCTTGCGATGATTCATTGGAACATACACACTTCTACGACCACGGCGTCGGGAAATGTTTCGCTGTCGACAGTAAAGAGCACAGTCCGAGAGCATCATTCACCTCAACTTGACAAGCCAACAGGAAAGCTTTGAAGCGCCCGGACTAAGAGTGAATGCTCCGCGGTCCATGCACATTTCGAAGCACACTATCGTATCATACATTGGGAGCTCTGCTTCTCGGAAGAAATCCACCGGAAGGGCTGTCTCTGATTTGACAACCCAGCCGAAATTCGCTCTATGGTGAGAGATGCAGACCCGCAGGCATTAGTGGCGTCTGTATTTATGTCGGACTTTGCGCGCGCGGATACCTTTCCCGAGACTGCTTCAACATATCCAGGCTAGCTGTGAGGATCTACCGAACGCATTCGAGATCAACGGAAAGCCTGATGATGTGTCGTTCTTCGAGGTTGTACTAGATTATCTCTGGTGACCACAGGCCCGTATTTCGCAGCAAGATCGGCTCGGCGATTCGGCCCAATGTCCGTAGACAACAGGCAACTAGGTAAGAGATACGGAGCGACCAGATGTATTAGAGGTAGAACGCCTCATGGCACTTAGTATGATAGCATGGAATGATCATCAGCATCTTAGAATTTACAAAAACCCGTTTATATCCTGAACGTACCAAGTGTATGGACTGGGATGTTGTCTTCCTCAGCATGTAAGGACATGCAGGGCTGCCTGGTATCTAACCTACATAACTGGCTGACGCGTCGAGTAATGGCCCGCAGAAGCTTGTTTAGCTATTCTGATCCCGATGACACAGACTTCTGGGTCGAAGAATCAAACTTCGGGATGCCGTCAACTGACTTCGGAGCCACCTTGTCATTGTTCAAGAACGTCTTACAACATTCTGGCGGCCCCGGTTTCCGACAGAGGGTGTCGAAGAAATCGCACAGCCATTTTATGGTCCAGACTTCGCAAGTCAGATAACAGGACACGTTCATGGCTGCGCTCGTCGTATCTATGTAGGTCAACAGCTAGCCGGACTGTCACATTGTCGGACTTGAGAAAATCAAGAGATCTAGGTGAATAACTCTTGAGTCGAACATAGTTGAAGCTTGATGGGGCTTTGACACTCACAGCTGCACAATGATATGTCGCAGAGCGTAGTGCGCTGCGGTGGTGGCTTCAACGCTACGCGTTCAAACATGTCGAATTGAGTGATGTGACGCGCCAATGTCCATCAACTTCGAGTATACGCTCTGAGAGAGCCACATATGGTTATCACCAACGCGAACGCACCAGAAGTATCTCTGTTCTTCTCCGCTCTTCTACGTCAACGTCAATTTCCTGCTACGTGAACGTCACGTTGAGCATAACAGTACACACTTTGTATGTGGCTCGGAGTGTATAATCCACTTCGGCGGTACCGAGGCACCCCTCCACGCAAACACGAGGCCCATACACGTAATGCACGAAGAGTGAAGGACCGCTGACCCGGGTGATTCGAAGCAGTCAGTCAAAGCCAATTGGCAGCAGACCAAAGGAACAGCCGCTCTTGCAGATTCAAGTGCGCATCGTTGATTGATAATACACGGCACCTCCATCCGTGGCGGTCGGCCATCTATCAGGTGGAAATCACCAAGCAGTCATTGCTCCTGATAGTGGATTGATGACGCCAGCAGAACAACAATACACCAGGACCGCCGATGATAGTATCGTGAATCGATAACGCACCAATTCAGCAGGGGGAGATAATGGATCAGTATTGTACGGAGTGTGCGCTTGTCATGCACTGCCATACGGTACTTGAATTCTTCCGCAATATGCAATAATTGGATGCAGGTGCTGCACCTATCTAACATCGAGGGACTTGTGCCAAGAGTTTATTCGCAGCTAAGGGCGACGTATTCCTGAGGAAATAATGTCATTCCTGTCTCGGTTCAGATACACACTAGCTGAAAGAGGTAACAAAAATAGGAAGAGTCCGTGGAGTGAGGATACTAAGAAGCCCATCCTGAAGTAACACTGAAAGTCACGACGGCGATGAGGACGAGGCCGATCTGGAAGAACAAAAAACGACGTCAGCAAATAGGCAGGATGTCAGGCATGCATCGCATACATAGGTACATAGACGCACGGGATTCCGCGGCGAGCACAATTAGCGCAAGTTTGACGGCCATCACATTTCAACTTGCGTCCTACAGTTAAGGATCGTGGGTTAGTGACTACGTACCTAGGATATACGAGACACACTCACCTCTGCAGAATTGGCAAGCCATAGGCGTCCTCCGCGAGACTCTGTTAGCCTCAGTCAGAATATCTTGACTGCCCGCTTGATCCTGTGAGGCCTGGTTCTGCTGCTGCGATAGAAACTTATAATGATGAATATTGACAGTTATGAACGATGCGTACATTCGTGGAGGTCATTTGAAGAGTAAGTTGATCAGTTCAGTTCTAGGATGGGTGAGCGATCTGTACAGAAGCCACTGCTATATACACAATCCAGCGCACTCAGTGCCGGAACAGCGGAAATATAGTCACTGTGTGATGGTTAGCCTAGGACACAAACGAGATCAGCGGCCGTCATCATACAGTACGGCATCACTCAAATAAGAAGAGTCAGTCCGGCTGGCAAGCTGCGACTTCCATGGCGTTCCGCGTCCGAAATGAAGCAATGTGTTGCGGGTCGACTGAATTGGGGACTGGTAATACAATTGGGTCCGCGACTGTGATCAACCGGCAGTGGGGGTCCAGCCCACTACGAGAGATTTCAATATTCCGCTAGCTGCGGCTCGGTTATATGATAGCTTACCTGCGATCCTGAAGAGCAGCAATCTAGAACCATTCTCCTCGTTGGAGTCTTGATTTCTAGAAGTGAAACCAAAAGAAACAACGTACAGGCTTTCCATGACACGGAGCCTAGCCAGGTGGTGCGGTCGTAAGCCACAGCTGCCGGTATGCAGTTTAGTCAAGCTTCAGGGTATCGATCGCTCTTCTACGCGCGCGTAGCGATCCTGTGAAGCCCAGAACTTCGAAAATTGACATAGAACAGGGTCTTTGAGCCATATCAGTAGCTGTGCAACAGATAGGGTTCGATGGATGTCGCAGCGACATCATGTGAATAATACAAGAGCCACGCATATGTCATTCATTGAAGATGTCCGAACCGGGACGAGGTCAGGAAACGAGAAACAGACTATGGGGATAAGGTCCCAATGACAGTGCGCTCAGTACTCTGCACAATCAGCACAAGGAGACAAGGCTAGCGCGTTCAGCGTTCGGTGAGTTAGCCGCCGTGCTGCCACCCGTCAACACGCCAAGACAACAAAGACATCCTCCTTTCGGGCCGTTACAGTTCATCCCAACGCTTAGCATCAGTTAAGTCGAGACGCTCCCGACGAGTCCACTAACTAACCTTCCGGAGGTCTTCCTCGATAGACGAAACACACCCCGCACGCCTGTACTGTTATAAATGGTCTTGTGAGACCACTACCTGGCCAGTGGTCACCCAGCAATACGAGACGTATTGAATGTCTGCTCTTGACGCCGACAGTTTCTGACCCGCAGTCATGAAGCACATGCATATAAAGACGCGATTATTTCCTTGGCTCGTTGTCAATTCCTGTTAATTTGCAGTCATTTTAAGCGTTGTAGATAATCGTCTGTGATGACTTGCTCACATTCTGAATGTATATTCGACGAAGATCCCTGCGTCATCCCTGAGTATCAGAGATTTGAGCTCCGTATAAGAATGCGAGATGTGCTGGCATCGCGATTAGGTCGGGGAGTGGCCGCATCACCATTATTTAAGTAGAGGAGAGACTGGGTTGAACTTGGACTTCTGCGTGTGGAGACAGCGCTGTCATACGTAATTGCAGAAGACCCCGATCACTCCTTTGCGCTCGTAGAGGGTCCAGGACTCAAAATACGTCGGTGCTGGGTGTATAGGGTCTAAACAACATGCAGGGAACCCCATTACAGCAATTACAATACAAATTCGGACGGCTGTAATAAGCCCCGAATCTACCAGCCTTCATCGAGGAGCGGTTATGCAAGCTTGCGCCGCTTGCCGCGTTCGTTCAGCAGCACTGAAAGTTGCAAGAGGTCATTGTATAGAAAAGAGGACAAGCCTATTAATAGGATGAAGCTTACGTTCTGCATCCATAAGTGGCCTGGTATTGGATCGGGCCCTGCCATCCTCGCACTGGGGATTGACAGAGAGATCTTCCTTCGCGATCCTGGTTAAGCTCTCGCTGTCGTTCATTGACACGGCTTCGAAATCGAACTGGAATGGTCGGCCCTCATCAACATCCTTCGAATCGCTGTCTACCTTCATTGGGAGCCGCACCTGAGCGGGTAGCCCTCCACTAGCACTATCCAATCTGGTCGGAGTGTCCTCGCCCTCCCTTTGCAATTGCGAATCCACGCTTCTCGATCGGACTAGCAGACACCCGCTCTCCGCGTCGAAGGACACATCCTCTGTTTCGCGTTTGACTTTCAGCTCGTCCAGTATGTCGTTGACCTCCTGTTCACTTTGCGCCTCCTCGTCTTCCTCGTCTTCCAGACCTTGTGGCAAGCCGTCGCTCTCGTATTCGACCGGCACGCCCTCCGACTTAAGGCGTGATAGTCCGCGCGTCTTCGCACGACCCACATGAAATTGTAGTGGTCTGGTCTCCGGATAACTCCTCGACGAACCGCTTGGATGATCATGCATATTCGCTTCTGGATTCGTGAATACGCCAGAGCAGTCGGAGCCGTACTCCACATCATGTGTCACAAGTTCTTGGTCAGGATCTGTAGCTTCGTCTTCCAATCGCTCTGCTTCTAACTGGGCTAACATCTTCTTGCGGAATGCGAGTCCTACGTTCATTTGGTCCCGCAATTCGGACATCTTCGGATCTTTTGCAGGGCGTCCACGTCTTCCAGACTGGTGCTGAATTGTGTGTCATGCAATCGATTCGTTAGCAAGCTCCAACATATCGCGAGTAAGACGACTCGCCTTCCGCCGCCTTCCCCTCTGTGCAAGTGAGGAGTCAAGCATGTTCTCGACTTGAACATGAACTTGCGTGTAACCGAAACTCATCTTACACGGCGAATGTCGTCCATCCAGTGCCAAATCCTGCGAGCAATGGTCGTCAGTGTGACTTCACTCTTAGAGATGCCAAGGGAGTCAATTACACCACGTCCGCCTTGGGATAGCCATTCTCTCGGAGGCCTCGCACGGATAACAGAGTATATCTTGAATCCGCCTTGCGAATACACGAAAATAGGCAAATACGTATCATTCTTGTTGCGTAATTTTCGTGGATCGTAATGATAAGGCTCCCCTACCAATGGTACTGTTAATGCTGGGCTCGTCTCGCGGATAGATTGTAATGCCCTTACCAATGGTATGTTTCCGATCAAGCAAACCCGCAGAATACAATTTGTTATAATAAGCACCAGAGACCCGCACCTTCTGTTTATGATAGACATGCACGAAGCACGACATGTAGTTCGCGTACGCCTTGTGACCGAACTGCAGCGGATTTGTGGAGTTCGGCGAGCTTGCGACACGTTCCAGAAACTCGAGAGAGTTCCATTGCTTCATGTACGAGACGATTCCGTCTCTGAAAGTCTCGTACAGCTCGTCTTGACACACGAGGTGTGCTGGAGTACCAGGCCACAAACCAAGCTCGTGCAGCAGGTCGTGAGCGATGCGACGGCCGAAGCCGTTGAAGACACACTTCTTGTCGCACATAGTGTACACAATGGGATAGCGAGCGGAGATACCGCCGATTTCCTGGAGTATTGAGTCTCTCCATTCAAGAAGACGCTGTTCTGCGGCGTGAGCCTCGTCAATCCAATCTGGGCCGTGGTCAGGACTCCATATGGACTGCCACAACTGAGAGCAAAGGTAAAATCAAATGCGAATGTGGATCGCTGAAGGTACTCGCCTGGGACTGCGGGTCAATATCTGATTCTTGCCAGTGACGACCGAGACTGATGACGCTGATATTGACAGAGTCGGCGAAGTCTATTACAACGTAGGAGAAAGTGGCACAGTTGACAGCTGCAACAATGTTCATACGATCGATGCCCGGTATCCTATTTGAGTCTCGTGGCATGAAGGCGTTTGAGGTAAGGAAGGATCCAATTCGGTCACGGTTCAACACGTTTCCGCTTGTCCCGGAGATGGCTTCTGATACACTGGCAAGGTTATCATTCCCAAAGCGCAGCATGCATGCATCGACGCCAAGGTTCATCCTCACTCCATGCTATGAACCGCTATCAGAGCAGGCTCTAGAAAAGGTAAAGAAAATTACTCACATATCCGCAGGCCAGGAACAACTCGTTGCCTCTCACTTTCGCGATGACGTTCCCCTGATGCAGAGGTTTCGAAAGGTACGACCAAGGTTCATCTTCTGTTTGAGCGGCCTCGTTCGCGTCTGACAGGAAACCTTCAGGAACTAGCTCCAGATAATTTTCATACTCTCTCAGATGGACAGTACAGTTGAAAGCGTGACCGCCGTCTGTGTTCACTCCCAATTTCGGTGGAAATAGCTGTAGGTGGCCTAAAAATCACATATCGTCCAGCGTGAGATTGGAACAGAAATCAGACAGCGAGGGCGCGCCTGTTACTGACCTGTTAATGGTTTGTTGTAAAGGGACTCGTGGTAGCGTTTTTCCTTCTCTAGGAGATTGCAGAGGGCACGGAGAACATCCGTTTCAGCCATCCCAACCGTTGAGAGAGTCGGTCACTCTCAGTCACAGGCGCGAGTCGGGTGTGACACAGACATGACTTTGTCACGGACGCGTCCGTGACCGTTACACGACGCGTTATTCTGAATCCAGTTATTAATTGGTCGTCGCGCGCTGCTCTTGTCCAACGGTGTTCACGGTTGTGATAGGAAACTGAGGCGAGGTTTCCGTTGGGATACCACTGGAAGATCAACGTGAGCCTAGCGTAAAATAATAGCTTTGCGATGGAGGACCGAAGCGTCCGACTACTACTAGTATGCATATCAGGGTCAGAGACTAACGTGGGTGAGATGGGCCCAGCAGATATCGTGAGCCTCTGCAAGCATTGATTCATTGTAGACGACGTCCAACTCTCAAGAAAACCTGGAGCAGAGTTAACATTGCTGCGGAAGTCCGGTAGCCTGATCATTGGCGTTCCGGGCACGCACCGAGATCAACGGTCATGAACGTGTAGATGGCACCATGCAGAACAATTGAGCTCAGGGACACATGGGACTGCAGATCATCCAGAAAGGCGCGTCGCCGAATTCGACTGCCGAGGAAAGCGCGAGACTCCCAAATGCGGTGTAGGCACAAAACAACCGCTTTCCTTTCACATTATGGCACCAGCTCCAAGCGACATGAAGTAGAAAGCTCCAAACATCGTCTGCTGTACGCCACGAAAATCACAATCAGCACCATCGTAAATACAAAGGAAAAAAACGAGAAGCACCGTGGAACTATCACCTGCACAGCGTACCGAGTCCTATAAGACACGAAACCTCACTAGCGGATCCAAGTCCTCCTCTTGTTGCACATGCTCCGATGGATCCCATTCCCCGTCGTCTATCGCGCTTGATGGCGCTCGAGCGTACTGCCAGGTGGGTCGAGATGCAGGCTGCGGAGTCCGACCACGCGCCACGGCCTCCTTCGCCGTCCTCCACGAGGCAGTCGCCCTCAACCCGCACCACCACAACCTCTGACAGAAAGTCCCTCCCGCAACACCCATCGCCACCTAATCCGGCGCCCAGCATGCCACGCCGACACAGCGACGCCCCCGCGAAGAGTGCTGCTCTCCTCCCGTTCCCTCAGAGCCCGCCGGGATCAGGGTATCCAATGTCACTTGAGATGGGGCCACCGAGGGCGGACGTGGACAGCGATAAGGCAAGTAGCGCGGACCGGGGGTGCCACCGGACGTGACTGAGCTAGTTTCTAGGCACAGAGACGGGTATTGAAGAAGCGGCGAGGCTCATTCTTCAGCTCCTTGGGTTCGCCATCGGTGTATTGGAGGCGAGAGGAGCCGAACAAACGTGACCGGCCTGCATCGTCGTCGTGAGGCAAGGAGGATAACTGGGTAAGACGTCCAAGCACTGCGGGAGAAAACAAGGGTTGATTGACTGCTGAATGAAGGACGTCCAAATGAAGACAGGAAACACCCAGACTTTGCTCCGTCGTGGACAACTTATTTTGCCTCGTAGCCGTCATACTCGCTGTCCTCTTTGCTGTCATGCCAATCATTAGTTGCCCAGTAGGACCTTGAAAAACAATGAGAAACTACTACGTCGGATGATGAAGGACATGAAACTCACGGGGGAAGATCCAATGTCGTCCTATTACCGCCTGACGATGATGTGCCTTCAGTAGACGACGAGAGCGAGGCAAAATCCGTCTGAACTGAGGACGGAAGTAGTCCTGAAACGACTCTGATAGGGAAGTCGGCATACAGCTTGTTGAACAAGCCGCCAAAATTCAGCTGGACCTGCAACCGATACTGACGGCCAATATAAGTATCCCTGCCAGTCAAAGCAAGAACATATCGTACCTCATTCTTCAGAATACGAGTTTGGAATGTCGGGGGACATCTAAGAACAAACTTCGAGGAGAAGGTCACTTCCTGTTTCCACGTCCCCTTCTCTTTATCGTCCGAAGGAATCCAAACGTTTTCCAGGCGAGTCGACTCCAGGGAGCTGCTATCCACCGTCAACCCAGACGCAAATGGCGCTCGCTCCCCCAAGCGCGAATCAAATGCATGGGCACGAACGTACACGCTGCGCCTCAACTCAAACTGGATCTCTTCGGGATACTGCGGCGGGGTAGGGAAGATCGGCTTATCTTCCGGCGTGTTTTCTCGTTTCATGGGCTTTGAAATCGTGACGATCCTGATCGAGAAGGGAATGGGGGTAAACAGCGGAAACTGTATCAGATCAGGAAGTCGCAGCTACACCAGCGGCAAGTCAGAGACAAAATCGCACGAAGAGAAAGACACTAACGATCATCTTCACATGGGCATGATCGCCCCAGACGCCCTTACGGACCCGTTCTTCTCTCGTCAACGTTGCCCACGCACCCCTCCAGCCATTCTGCACCGCAGTTCGCAGAGAGTGTCCTGTTGTATCGGACGGTACAACCGCGAGAGGGACTTGCATCCGTCTGTTCCAATGGAACGTTCCCCGGCGGACACCAACCACTTCAAGCTCGTAGGAAACCGAGCCACCGACGTTGAAACCGTTGAAATGGAAGGACGGTGGGAGGTGCGTGGGAAGCGCGAACTCGAATGGAAAGCTCAGCGTGTGAGAGCCCGGCGGAGGATACGCTGTGCCTCGTCGCCAAAGAACCCTGTCTTCCCGTAACAGGTGCACCGACTCCCTGATCATGGTGTTATTCCGATAGATGTTGCTGTACGAGCACGTCATTGCACTACTCGCGGTCTGACAAGTGATGAAACCCACGTTTTTACGGAACCACTAAGCTTCACATGGACCTCCTCGATGTCGTCTTCCTGTGCGAGTGGGAAGTTCAGCTCGACCTCGCCCTGAACGGTACCGCCAGCCACACATAGCTGTCGTGAGAAGTGCAGGGTAATAGGGCGCTTGCTCGACATGACAGAGATATGGTTTGCAGTCGCAGCCCCGCTGCGCTATTTAACTGCACTTCAAAGTATTCAGACGCTGTCAGCCATCAAGAGACGTCAACGGCGGCCTAGCGCTGAGCGCGAATGCACGAGATAGGCCATCGACTTACGGAGCAGCAGCAACAGCTTACAGTTGGAACCTGGGCACGAGATCTAATTTCCGCGAGGCTCCGTGCCTGCTGATGATGTAGTTGACGAAGCAGAATAACGAGGACGTGACTAGAATATCTTAATAGTTGTATTCTTGGGACCGTGCGCGTGCAGGGGAGGGCTGAACAGTGAATGGACGTGACTCATGTGGTAAGTAGAACCTGCAGGCGATCAGTATATACACTCTAGTCTCACTACAGTATGAGATAAGCATTAAAGTAGAAAGGTGTAATGAGTGGGTTCCGTATATAAATCCTCACTACAAGTTAATTATTTTCTGCCTCACTACCGCCGCCACTGGCACACCTCGGACCTGGCTCGGGCATTTCCAAATGCCACTGCATACGCCACAAGACCTATAACTTGACAAATATTGCAGGCACGGGCGAAGCGCACATCATTCTCTGACAAAGGTCTCTAGTTTCTACGTATCTCCGCCAATAGCGAACTGCGAAAATCCTGATTTCGGACGATATCCCGCTCCGATTACCATCGGGTGGGTGAGGCGACCTTGTCATACGAGATGTTAAGCTAACCTGGTCGCGGGGAGGTAGTATGAGCTGCAAACATCCCCAGCAAGTCGAGATCAAAGTGATCATTGGGGAACTGAGGCGTCAGACGGCGGACTTGCAGAAGTTACGCGAGCTGCTCATTCGCCTGATACGGTCTTCCCCTGGTTATACAGTGAGCAGCCTATGCATTCCGATAATGGAACCATCTTTCAACAGCCTGTGCAGGAAGTCATTCGTGAAGCCGTGGAGTCCTGCGCAGAACGAGTCAATTGTGATGATGGGCATAGCAAGGTTGTGTACGAATTGATCTACAAATTACGCCATACCGACGAGAGTCTCCGACGTCTGGATTGGAAGATCACGGAGCTAGAAGCTCTCCTCGCGCCTATGCAGTATCTTCCCGACACGCTGCTACTGGCCATCTTCAAGGCAGGTTGCAGGCAGCCACGTCCAGAGCCGGACGTATGGTTACCTTTTCCTATGCTCGTTGCCTCCGTGTCGCGTCGCTGGAGAAATCTTACTCTTACCACGCCCACCCTTTGGACGAACCTGCATATTTCCATGGAGGGACCCCGTTCTTGGGCGAGTCTTGCACTCACACGATCTGCAACGCACCTGCTGGACATCACTATCGACGGTCGTGTAGAGTCCACCAGTCGACTAGAGGAGATTGCGACACATGGACACGCAGAGGCTCCTCGCCGCACGCCGACAATAGTTTCGCGCTTGAACTTGCTCGTCCCGCACAGCAATCGCTGGCGCAAATTCACGGTCATAACCCATCATTCCATCGACATCAAAGTAGTAGGCGAAATCATAAAGAACGTGCAATCGCCTTTCCTCGAGCATCTCCGACTGTCTCTCACTGGCAGCGGTCCCGCGGGTAACCAGGAGGTTCCCCTTCCTGCTATCCTCGGAGGGGGCGCGCCCATGCTGTCTGCTGTGCGCTTGGACAGCGTCTCCCTCCCGTGGAGATCTATGCCCCTCTCTGGTCTGTCGGCGATCGACATTCGCTGGATGTGGGATCGAACCAAGCTGATGTATCCCCAATTCCGCGACCTCCTAGCAGATTCACCCTCGCTGCAGCGGCTTATCCTGCGAGGCCGGCACGTCGAGCTCCGCCCCAGCTCGACGTACGAGTCTATCCATGTACCCTCTCTCCGCTACCTGGAATTGTCGGGTGATAACATCTGCCGCCTGTCCTCGATCCTCATCACACCCGAGCTCGAGACGCTGGCGCTCGTGAATGTGGACGAGAGCGAGTTCCGCGAGTTCGTCGGCTCGTTGTCGTCAGTCAAGATCCGCTACTCTGCATTGCGCTTCCTCATCTTCGTTAACGTCACCACCTGTGACCTGTCGTCAGGGTTCACGGAGGCGTTCCCCAACATCGTACAGCTCACGATCATTAATTCGCATGCTAATCATTTTGTTGAACTCATGCTGAGGAAGCATGACAGCATGTACCCTGGCCCCGACACGGGCATCTGGCCATTGTTGAACACGATTGTGCTGATAGCTGACGATGTGAATTACGACAGACTCCGTCAGATGCTCCTCAAGCGCACTGCGGAACAGCTGGCGGTGCAGCGTTTGATTTTGAATGGGATCTACACACACAATCATCAATATGTGTCACCGTTGATGGATTTGGTGAAGGTTGATGGTATCTCTGTACTGGAAGGAGATATGTAGCTGCCTAGTTGCAGTGTTGTGTAAGTCTGAGTATTGTGTCCTCTCAACTCATTCTGATTCTTCGCCCCCGTGCCGGCCTAGTTGATGTTGTCAAGGCCTACTTTGTACTGGAAAGTCATGTCTATGCTGCTTAGCAATGCACCCTCTCAAAGTCTTCACGAGCTGCCGCTGCGCCTTGCGAAAATCCATGTTCTACAGACATACCTCGATTACTGCACTGAGATTTGAAGGAACTATATGCTGCTCACCATATTCCCAGAGGTTGTTCTGCCCCTTGTCTCTCGCGTGTTCTTGCACCCTTCTCTTTGCCCATGGGCCCTTGAAGCCCAGCTCTGGAGTAGGTGCAGAGTGTGGTGCAGGGCCTAACGCAGAGAAAAACATGTATGCGTCTTCCCACCCCTTCAAGAAACCGTCACTAAATCTCCAATGCTCATAACTGCCTGGGTACTGCAACCAGTAGGAGGAGTGTTGACCTCGAAAAAATGACCTATATGAGTCCCTTGCAAGTTGCCGTCGTCAAATACTCACCAAGTGCCAGATCTCTTGCCGCATCTCTCCTAGCACTGTGGTCCGTGTCGTATATCACCGACGTGCGCGCTACCAGGCCTACTGAAGACGGGAAATTTCCAGCATCCACAGCATCCCGCAGTGACCACCCCCTATCTCCCCTATGTTCCTTTTTGTACGTCCAGAAAAACCAGCCTGCACAATACCGATCATACAGCTGTATTTGGGCTTCCACGTACTCGCGCTTGGCCCGATTCTCGTCGTCCACGCACTGCAGTGAACCAGGATTGAGCGCACCAGACCATTCTGCCACGACGAGCGCACACCCGGCGCCTTCCAGCTTCTGCGACACCCTCGAGAACATTTGCGGAGCCCACTCGTTCGGATCTCTGAGGGCGTGCGTGTGTTGTGACACGGGCGTCGAGGCATCTCCGGGTGTGAAGCAGCGATAGAGATGATGGTCCAGCACGGCAAAGTGCACCGCGGCGCCGCCTAGGAAGTCCGCATACTGATCCGTCATCCATGCGTCACCGATATACAGCGGCACGCCGGGGTCGATCGTCCGCATCTCGCGGAACGTGTCGAGGTACCACTTTTGTAGCGCGCTGTTGTGTGACTGCGGTTGGGGCTCGTTAAGCAGCTCAATGCCAACGAGGTTCGAGAGCGGCGGAGCGTGGGAGTTGGCAAACGCAGTCAAGTGGGAGAGGAATGTAGACAAGATGTGGGTAGTGTGCGGCATGTTATATGAGTTCGTGAAAAAGGACGGGTTAGACGAGGAAGTTCCGGAGTGAGAGTCTGCGTTCTGTTTTCCTGGTGCAGCATGTAAATCTGCCCCAATTGTAAGTGGGGCTCTCGACGATAGGTGGGGGAGAGACTTGCCAAACAGTACCCCGATACCGTATCGGTGCGCGGTAGCGAGCGCGTTGGTGATTCTGGCCCATGCGCCTCGGAACACATGTTCAAAGTTCGCAAAGTCTGTTCCTTGCAAGACTGAGGGGTCGGCCCCGCATATGTGGTAGTAGCCGATCTGAGTAACTCGTCGGTACATGACATTCTACATTGTCCGGGCTGAGAGAATGTCGCCCACCGGAATGCGGACAGTGTTGATTCCCCTTGCAGCAATCCAAGCCCAGTCTTGTTCTGTTATCCAAGTATCCCAATGGTGTTCCAACACTTCCTGAGCCCTGGAGCCCTGTGCAACATCGAGGTCACTCTGAGCAGGGCCGTTGGCGAAACGGAAAGGCATATCTGTGATCCATCGCTCAAGAACGAACCACGAGCCTGGAATATTCAGCATCCAAACATTCTTCAACCTGTCCGGAAAGGTGGGAATACATACCTAGGTTTACACCTCGCTGCTTGCGGTAGCGGTAGAAATCTGCCTGACTAGGCAGAACAGCAGGCGGGCATAGAGGGACTGAGACCTGTGACTGGACCACTACAGAATTGGAATGGTGCTTTAGTAAGTTTGACAGTTTGTGCATGGCAGCAGGTAGTAAGAGCCCTGGCCGCCGCGCTGCTATGATGTCAGAACACCTGATATGATCGCGATAGGTCACACAGTTGTCACGACAGTTGGTCACGCGAGGTGCATCTGGCGCAGTACAAACGCACCGACAAACCATGAAATAGCAACACAGCAGTGTCAATAACACAAAAATGTCTGCATGTAACAAGCCCAGTCCGCAATTATCCGCCAGCGCCTGCATCTACGGTAGCGACAAGAACAGCTCAAGCAGCTTGGGGAAATTTGGAGTGCCGACTCCCGTAACGGGATCCCAACCAGGTTGCGCGTGGTACCCATCTGTGCCGCAGCCGGGATTTGTCCCGTTCGTGATGTCGTTGAATGCCGCCATACCGTGGGCAGTATAGATCTGCATTGTCCACAGATAAGATGGGTGAACACGCCATTATGCACGCGCGAGCCACAGAGGGATACGCACGGTCGGATTAATGAAGCCCACAGGGCCTTTACCCAGAGCGAGGCGCGCGTCATTAACGGCGGACAGGATGGCAGCGGAGACAGGGCTCGCGCAAGAGGTTCCATACACCAACAAGAACGCACCCTGTACAGCGACGACGTAGTTTGCGCTGCATGTTCAGCGCGTTAGTACACGCGCACGCGCATGGGAGCAGGTGTAAACGTACCCATTCGCAGCGATGTCAGGAAATGCACGCGACGTGCTGGTCGAGTTCCAGATGTCCGCAGGGTACGGCGGCGGGTACTGCGTGAGGTACGACTCGACGGCCGTCTTCTGGTACGAAGACATGGCGAACACGTTGGACCACCCGCCGCCTGAGTAGATTACTTGCTCGCATGCACTCTCCGGTTCAAAGACCTGCTCGAGTGCTCTCATCAATTCGGGGCGTACTGGGATGGTGAACTACGGACGCACAGATGCCCCGGGATTGACCTGCGTGGCGCCAACGCTCGTCACGTACGGACAGGTTGAGGGAAACTTAGGGTTGAAGATCGTCCCACCGTACGTCTGCGACCCGTTGGGGTTGAGGCAAATACCACCGGCTCCGGCAACGCCGTAGTCACCCGATGAGTAGAGGATCGTAGTACCCATGAGGCCGAGCTGCCACACACTGCAAGTTAAGTATCACTGTCTTCAGCGAGGAGAAAATATATAACCTTTGCGTACTCGGCACACTGGCGTTCCATGTAGAAAGGCGTCAAATTCGCTTCTTCGTGTGAACAAGAAGTGGACAGGATGTAGGCGGGCGTAACAGTGCCGCATGCCTCGGGACCTACAGACGCTCTCAGAAAAGGCGCGGGAAAAGATCAAAGCGCCGCACCTTGATAGCCTCCGTAGGGATCGGGATAAATACCGTCAAAGGACGGATCGTCGCCTCCCTCAAATGTGCAGTATGACCCGTCCAAAGCGTCGAGGAGGTTGTTGAATGACTCGGAGGCACCTGTGCATTGGCAACATTAGATCGCATATTCATTGGGCGCATCCACTCACCCTCAATTTCGTCCCCCACTTGGTACAAAGTGACGGTCTGTTCCGAGCCGACGAGTGACATGGAATATTGAAGATCGAGGTTCGATTCACCGTTGACAAAGAATCCTGAATTATTCGCGTCCAAGTAACCTGTGATTCATGAGCGACGTCTGGAGGACATAGCGTAAGAAGTTGAGGCTCACCTCCATCGATGGAATTCAAATTTGGCCTTTCACCAACCTGGCTGGGGGAGAAGTTGGTGAAGAACATGTCGAGATCGGCTCCAACGTAAGCCTGAGGAGTGTACTCAGCTGGACAACAAAGGTCAGGGGCGGGAGGTATAGCGAGGCTTGATCTATACTCACCGACCGCCAAGGAGTTTTTGTGGGGGGCGACGGGAACATACTGAAATTCGTACAAGGCACGCAGGCAGTTTGGAGTAATCTGCTGATCGCAATCCTCGAGCTCGTTCTTGATTTCCTGTCCCAGAATCAGTGTCGCGAACGGAAGACGAGAAAAGATCATTTCAGACAGACCTGAATTGTTCCGGTCGTCTTAGGGAAGCTGGCACCAAAACCAGGCTGGCCTGCATTCTTCGCCGAAACATCGCGTGACCCTAACTTACGATGAGTGTCGCGCTTATGCTTGACATCGAAGTGGAGTGTCGGGGTGATAAGTTCGACATGCTTGGAGACGTGGTCAGGGAGGTGATATCGATCCGCACATGTAATGTGCTCGCGACCGTCCTCCTCCCCGAACTGGTACATATAGTACTCAGTGTCGAGTAACCACTCGGCCTCCTCGATCGTCACATTGACCTACATCCATGAGCCGCCCTTGACGAGCTTCACGCGTTTTTCTTCGAGCCCACTCTCGAGGAGCCATGCGCGGACGGTGTCAACGGTCTCTGCGGACGGACGAAACGTGTCCACGACCTGCTGCGGGCTCCAGTGATTGCCAAAGTTGGGCGAGTCGGGGTGCGACACGTCCAAAAGGAACGCCTCAATGTTGTCGATGTTGGACTGCGCAAGACCGATGCGGAGCGGGAGAATGGTGCTGGGCTCGGCGCGGCGCAAAACACGCCAGCCCGCGGGGACGCTTGCGCGCGACTCATGGACGATGCGGGGAGAGATCGACGTAGATGCGGCGGCAACAGAGAGCCCAAGGGCAATGAGAGGAGCGACGAGCAACATCCTGAGGACCAGGATTTTTCCCTACGATAGAAAGTCGTCTGCAGTGTCATCACGTTTATAACTCGATGCTGCTTCTTGACCAATGTCGTGTTGCGATACGCGGATTTTTGATGTCCGCCTGGCCCGGGATGCATCAGCTGAGCGCTCAACGCGTGCAGACTTCGAGTAACGACAGAAGTTCGGCCGCGACAGAAGATCCGAATATGCACATGCATTTGCTGGAGAACGTCGAGTATAACATCCGATTTGGTGTAGAATGAACTTGAATAGGTCAAATGCGCTTCTGCGAGAGCGCAATTCCGCCACCATCCACAGTCGTGACTTCCCGGATTTTAAGGTTCAGATTCGCAGAAGCTACTGTCACACGTCGTGAGCAGCTTCCTCGAGCTCTTTCACAGGAGCGCTTTGATGTCCGCATGGCCGTCAGTTTAGCATCGCTGCGCCTTACGTGAATCTATCAAGAACAATGGACACACCCAGCCACAGCCATGCTCAAAGAATCTGGGTCCGTGCTCATGGCGTCTGACACGCTAGTTAATTGGCTGTTTGTGAACTGCGGGGATCTTCCAGCGATGCAGATTTGTCGACGATCGATGGTTACTGTAGTGCTTTGACACGTTGGTGCCTGGAGACGTTGAGACAAGCAGACACGTAGCCTCGTGATCGCATGCAGTGTGACCGTAGAGGGACGAAGTGCGGAATTCTCTGGTAGAGACACAAAAAAGTTCACTTGTCAGTCAATGACTTTCCTCCTCCAGTCCATCTGAAAAGCGTGAGATTCACCCTCTCATCAGAAGTAAGCAAAGATAATTCAAGCGAGATAGGCTTACATAGTGATCATTCGAGACGCTTGCTGATGCACAACGGGAGTGGGTATGCGGTGTTGAGGCGGGGAGATCCTGTTACAGGCAGCGGGTCAGACATCGCCAGAGCCTGATTGTAGAAAAAACCTTGTTTTCTTCAAAACTTTGGCTTCTCACAATATATGACCATGGATGGGTGCAGAAAGTGTGTTAATGGCGTCGCCGTGACCGTCGCGGTAAAGCGGAGCAACTTGAACTTGAAGCGGAATTGGCGGAACGCGTAACATTGACGCGACGTGACAAGTCACCTGATCGCAGCAACGCCAGCTTTCACCGCCTGGCTTAGGCTAATAAATTAAATAATTGCCCACTGGGCCATGGCTATCCAGACTCCAACTCATGTACGGCTGACTAACCCATAACGCTTGATGATGTATATCGCGGATTCGATACGAGGAACAGGCATCCACGGTTCCACCCTACACATATGCATAAAACGAGGGCGGGAGCATAGAATATCATAGCGAAAGGCTTATACCGACGCTATGCAGTGAGTGATATAGTCGATTGCACAGGATTCCACAGTCTCGCACATGCATTTGATGACGCCCGTGACTGCTGGCACCATGCTAACCCGGACAGGATTTGCAGGCAATGCCTAGCTGTGCAGTGTACGTGGCACTCGCTATAAAACAACCGCGACGTCCGTGCCCACACTGCAGATAACCCGTAAACCCTATGAGTCTCCTTTCACTTAACGAGGATGCCCTTCTCCTCCTCGTATCCTTCCTCAGCAGCCAAGATGCGCTCCGTCTTTCCGAGACCAGCCGGAAAGTCCATCTCATCGGCATACAGCAGGCTCTCTCCTCAGTCACATTGACCATGCCCCACCAACTCCCCTTATTGCACAAATTTCTTCTCTGCCCCTCGGCTGGTCACCACATCCTGTTTTTGCGCCACTTGCGGACTAGGTGGAACGTTTGGGGAGTCAACGCGCGTCCCGATTTCTCCAACATCGCCCTCTTAGCAGACATTCTTGAGCAGGCCCTCAGACTCAAGTCTGTCTGTCTCCACATATTTGATGAACTCATCAAGGCCGAACCGCGCATCCTATCAGCGCTCGTGGCGCTCGACGGTCTCGAAAACGTCGAAGGGATACGCACCCGTAGTTTCACCCTGGAGTCGCTCCACAGGTTCCGTAGCGGGCTGAAGAAGCTCCGTCTTTGCTTTGCAGACGAGTACTTCTACGGTGGTGTTCAACTCGCCCGACCAGCATCGTACTTCGGGCAGTTGTCCGTCCTCCGAGAACTTGAGGACCTCGACCTACATAATCTCAGGATCACATATGACGAGCCAGCAAGTCAGTACACCGTGCAGCCGTACGCGGGACCGCGCTGGCCAGCAATACGGCATCTTACCCTATCCACTGTCTCGATACCGGCACCCTTGCTTGCGTACGCGTTTCCCAACGTGGAGCATGCCGCGTTAGACAACGTCGCGATCACCGATGTGGCTGCGTTGCAATGGATCACTCCAGAAGATACCACCCGGATGCATGCTGCACCAGTCCATTCGATCGACCTCGATGCAACGTATGGATATTCCTTGTACGGTCTCAAAGATTGGCATGTCGATGTCCTTCGGACCATGTCACCCTTTCTACTCTCGGTAACCGCTGCTCCACTTATGGACTCATGGCCAGAACTCATCCAACTTGCACCGAGACTCAAATACTTGTACGCGCGACTGAATACGGGCCAGATGCTTATCACTGAATCTCAGTCTAACCTGGTTCAGAAATGGCTAGTAAGCATGACCAGCTTGTGAAACAATATTGAATTTTTAACTTAGCCACCAGGACACCGTGCCTGCACTACTGCCGTCAGGTGTGATTTGCGTTCGGGTCTACGTGCAAGACCCCGGGCAATACTGGCACGATGAAATAAGAGACAAGGTCTTCAACGCCGTCCCATCTGTTTGGTACATCGCAGCGCAATCGGTGCACTACCGAGAGGACTCGCCAGAGAGTGATGTCATATGGTGGCGAGTTGACAGGACAGCTGACACCCGGAGATTGGTGGAGATCTCACGGGAGGCAGGCGCAGGAGTGCATGCCTACCTGCATTCTGGAGAATTCGAGAAGCGGGTTCGAGATGATGGTTAGTCTAACCTATTTGTGTGAGAGAGCATGCTCAGTACATATACTGATTCATCTTGTTTTATTCAAGATGCATCTATTCCTGTTTTCGGATGAGGGATGGGGCCAGTGTGTTGGCTTCTTAGATACTATCTCCCTTTCCCGTTGGTTGCGGTACTGTACTGTATAATTGATTCTTCTAGGTCTTCTCCATACGCCAGGCCGACCTTGAAAACAAGGTGACCAGCAGGTATCATCGGCGATGCAGTCGACATTCTAAGTCGCTGCTCCCGAACTTCCTGACCAGATCACTGGGGATAAGACGCATGCAGACTGAGAAGATGGTTACCGGGACTTACAAGTTCGGCGGCTACTTACCAGTACCGCCGATGTATATATACTGCAGGGATTATACATTACGCGGAATCTATACATGGTAAACACTAGAAGACAAGCTGGCAGGGATCAAACATGCATATGGATGGGCACACATTTAGCCTGACTACACCGGGAACGCTGTCGTCAACGAGACGGCGACGATGAAGGTCCTTGCGTATCCTGCTTTCAACACAAGTGAACTCTTCACCTCCACAACTACTCGGTCACCACCAGTAGACACGTCTTTGACAGTATAATCGGGTTTTATGCTCGACCCGATTTCCGTGGACACCCTAACGTACCCTATCGGCATTCTCGAATTTACTGTAAAATGGGTAGATGCGAGGTTGGTCTTATATTGAAGATGTCACAAAGGGAACTCACGACGCAGCATATAATCCTGGATAGGGTGTAGTATGGTCGTTTGCCAAGTGGTCACTTGTGATGTGCTCAGAGGTCTCGGGAATGTTGACAAGGCCGGATTTATTAGTGACATATCCTTGTTCAATGGGCTTTGTCCTTTCCAAAGTATCTTCCATATCCTGAATGTACCGGTCCGTGAAATCGGGATCGCGTTCAATCCAGCTCAATCGCGGGAGGAGCTCCAGTTCACTGAACGTCGGAGACTCGATGTCACTTTTTCTTTTTCTCGGATAGAGGAAGTGACGGAGGGAAGTCGACCTTCGCACAAAGCTGTTCCAGGAGGTTCTTGTAACCTAAGTCTCTGACGAGCCGGTCAGCATCTGGATGCGTGGTATATTCGGGTTCTACATCCCGGACAAGAGGGAAGATCTTATGGTGGGGAGTAAAATATCTGTGGGGAACAGTGGCAGACTGCATGGCAATGACGTGGTTCAAATGGGTGCGAAATTAAGCACTGGAACACTTGGGCTACAGAAAGTGGTCACACCTCGCGCGTGTCACATCGAGCGTGGTTCAAGCATGTCACATCGGACATGGTCACGGTTCAATTTCTAGGTTCTCTTTCGTTCACAACGACTACAATATCCACAACTATTCTACACTACGCAAATTCTAATATGTATTTCTCTGTATTCTCTTTTGTAGCGATCTGTGTGGCGACTCTCGCTCGGGCAGCGGTTCTGGTAGACTCCAACACCAACGACCTCATGCCCTATTCCGTCTTTTCCCCGTTCTCGCTCGGACTGAACAGGACTTATACACTTATGGAAGTTCTCGACATCTCTGGTGTCGAACAGTCACTGCCGCAGTGTCCGAACAAAGTCATCCCGCAGGCCCACCAGAAGCGCAGTCCTTCGCCGAGCGAAAATACGCCTTCGAATCTTAGCCCGACTCCTGCACCCACGGGGCAGTCGACATCTTCCACTACGGTGCACATTAACAGTGAGGGTGACTTTGCCCTGTTACTGCCCGCCACCCCAGGAGGTATGCCCAGTCGCTTAGTTCATGTTGATCACGCTGACACCCGCATATAGAGCTTATTTCCAGTGCCGAGAGTGATGGGGTCTCATTCTGCACCAGCGATAGCTCCGACCCCACATGTTCGAGACGAATGGAAAGCGGGTTCATCACGGCTGCAGCGATCACCCGTGCCGACGACGGCTCCTGGATCCAAGTCGGTATTTTCCACGAAGTTAGTCTATGTCCCCGCCTGACTGATCGAGCCTCAAGGTAACGGGATGCATCGACACGAGCAAGTCCTCTCTCAGCGCTTCGGACGACGGTGGTCAGTTCGACGTGCGCTTCCCCAATGGTGCACAATGCACCTACGGTGGATACGGCGCAAGCTTCATTGAGCAGTGCGTACCTCGCCACCTCGCCCTCCTCGCAGTGCCGATGGCTTACCACATGCCCTCAGGGTCGAGCCGTCCTCGAACCGCTTCTGCCTTCGCTGCTGCAAGTCGGCCAACGACCAGGAGAACTGCAACTCGCACCAAGATACCGCGGGCTGCGTCACAGCAATTCCCGGCACATACGATTTCCCTAACCTCGGAATCAGCTGCTCCTGAGCCTTACTCTGCGCGTCTTGTTTATGGTGCCTTGCTCGTGTCGCTTCGGCTATTACCCTCGTTTACCTTCGCTTGTCTACGGCGGCCTTCTCCCCCTACACTAGGCACGGATCTCAGTGTGCTGCTCACACGACTGTCTCGTGGACGACGGACTCTGTATGGTGTATTCTCGTCTTCTCGTGCATCGCGTCGTGCGCTTGTCTTGTGTCCCGGCTAAAGTCACTTCCATTTCTTCCATCACGTAGATCCGATGAAACCACTGTACTGTATCTGCTAGATTTGTATCAGTAGTCCGTTTCCCCATCAGTCCGTCGCGTTCAGAGGATAACCCAATGAATTCTCGAGGTGCGTTAGTATACATGATGCACACGCGTGCATGCGTGATGATAGAGGCGGGATAGCGTTACATAGACTACATAGACTATAGACACAGTTCGTGGCGTGGGCAAGATGCAATATAGTACAACGTCCGACGCGTCCATCAGGTAGATAGTCCGTGCACAGGCGTCATCATGAGGACATGATGAATAGAGAGCGTCGAGAGCGAGAGCAGGGTACAGGGTGCAAGAAGTACTGAGCAATAACGACGAGGAAGAAGCAGAAACCACGAAGCAAGGGCCAAGAAAGCGAGCAGCACCTGCGAGAATTTTGGGCCGGTATCAAACCGGAACGGACACAGACCACATATCACCGAGTCGCCAGAGCGCCTCGCCTCACGTCTTCGCGAAGACGAGCTTCCCTGCGCCCGCTCCAGGGCCGCTCTTGTCGACCTCGACGCCGACGAGACGCGTCTTCTCGCCGAGCCAGTCGACGCGGCGCACACCGCCCTCCCAGCCGCCGCCGAGGCGCGTGCACCGTCGCTCATACGCGCGGGTCACCTTCTGTTGTGCGCGGCTACCGTGTCCCAAGGCCTCCCACTCCTCCGGAGTCACCGGCGCCATAAGTGTTGTGTGCACGGCATACAGAACGTCGAGCACTGTTAGCGTCTCGCCCTTGGAGCCGGGAGAGGGCCCGATGGTGAAGCGTGCGCCGCGCGCTGAGCTCGAGCTGGCACCGACGATGACAGGCCACGGGAACTTGTGTGAACGCAGGACCAGTCGGGAACCCGCAGAAGTCGCGGGTTCTGTCGCGGGCTGTGCGAGGGTGTGTGCGGGGATGGCAGAGTGTGTTGCACGATCGAGGACGGTCCGTGCAGAGGGTGTGAAGGTCACATCGTAGGTGATGGGGGCACGGTGAAGGCGTGTGTAAGCGAGTAACGGATGCATGTGCAGTGCGGGTGTGCGAGGCCGCGAGTACGTGGAATGAGTAGAAGGGGCCTGAGAGTACGCGACAGAGCGGGCAGGAGACTGGCCGCGTACTGAGCCAACTGAAGCGAAGATAAGAGGATGCACCAAGCCACAAAAAGGAAAGATGAGACTTACAGGAGGAAGCGCTTCCGGCACTGCCAACCGTTTGCCAGCTCTGATTCTGTTTGAGGATAGGGCGCGCGTTCACGTACCGCGCCCCGTGCCCCATGTCTGAGCTCGAGGATTTCGTATGAGGTCGGTATAGTGACGTGCTGGAGTTCGAGCGCGAGCTCGGTGGAGTCATGTACGCCGTTGTAGGAGTGTACAGAGCATAATTCGCTAAAAGCGATATCGCCAGAATGAGCGCCTGTCACTCCACAATATAGAAGAACCGTACCTGGCTCTCTTTTCTTATAACTTACACTGCGTTGGACGTGTTGACGAGGTTCCGCAGGATGAGGGGCGTTCGCATTGTGCTTGCCGTAACCGAGGACAGTCCTTGTATCAGTACTCGTTGTGTATCGGAGGGGCGACGGTGCCGATTGCAGGTTAGTGTAGCTGTAGCTGCGTTGGTGCGATGGGTTCGGAGTGTTCATCATGCCAGCGGGGGCATAGATGGGGCATGGTGCAGATTGAGCGCTCGGGCGCCTGGAGGACTTCGTACGCTCTGACGAAGAATGACCGCCTGAACCACCAAAGATGAATCGCAAGTATGAAGGCATGCCGGTATCGACGAGGAAAGTTCAAGCGATAGCGTATCGTGGTGGCAATTGAAGAGTAGAATAGGTATATACACAACCGACACAGAGAGTAGAGGAGGCTTGACGTCCAGGCAGAATGATGCTGGGATGGGGAAGGTCGGCGATACAGGAGCGGTCTTATATACCGAATGGACGACGCAATGAAACGTACCCCGCTTCGACCTGACATACAAACACGACCTGTGCGCGCCAAGATCTGGACCTTGAAGCTTCCCGCAATGATTCGCCAGAGAATGCCCCGGATTGAAAAGGTCTTGAAAGGAGCCTGGGTCCGTCGGTAGTGTTGCCGGCCAAATCAAAGAAGCACATCGACGTCCTTGACCCATCCGCAAACTCCGTATCTCGTCAGGTATTACGCACTTCGTTAATCCTAACAGGGACAGGCCAATGAGAGAATGACAGCACGAGGGAAAGTTGAGGCTTGAGGTAAAAGAAATGATACAAAAAATGTGATTGGCGGTGCAGAACGTCCAGCAGCAGGCCGCCCAAGCGACCCGGCACAATCATTGCCTTCGAGAACATCAAGGCTGCCTCGTGGAGTAGGCGTGTCACCCATTTTAGGGCCGGCGCGACAAGCGCAGAGTGCCTCAACCGACAGAGGTGCGGACCCGCCGACCTGTTGTACGCTTTCAGACCGACGATCGAAGGGCGAGGTCGTCGTGTATCAGCATGCACCCTCTTCAGTTGACACTTTGAAGCAGCCGAAACCTTTGCCCTCTGTCCAGGACCGATAAGCCGCGCAGCAGTTTGAAAAACAGGACAAGAAGGCAACGCAACAGACATTCTGACGACACAATGTCGGTAAGGCGCTCCTGTAGGACGGAGGAATCAGATGACGCACGAGCGACAACATCGGTGAGTTCCTCCCGGTAAGAAGTTCTTAACGATGTCAAATAAACTGGTCCAGACTGTTTCATTTGTGATCGTGACCCTCGAATCGGGCCTCATGAACGAGATACAGATTGCTGTAGATCTCGTTCGAAATCTCCGTTGCGTGTGTTAGGGCATGGAGTGCCGCCAGCATTACCGAGTATCCATGTTGTGTCGAGGATTTCTCTTGCCGCATGACGAGTGTTGGGCATAGGGGCTGAGAGATAAGTGAACGTATCAGAGGAGAAGACAGCGCCATGTGGATCTGTAAGGGAAACGAGCGATCCCAGCAAGTAGTTGACCGATAGCGAACGAATGCCCACATTCTGCGCTGACCAATTCGTTCTAGACCTTCAGGCATTGACCCCAGATGCTACAACACCCAATCCAGGACGTAGCGCAATACCAAGAGCCATTATCTCGAAGTCGAACTGACCGCGGACGTGGAAAGATCGCGGGAACGTAGGTTCTACGGCCTTAAGGAGGGCAACACGCGAGGAAGCAATATGAGGATACCAAGGCCCAAGATCGCGAAGCATGTTTGAGCACAGCAGTAGACTATGTGATGTCCAGATCGCCACGCTCCGGCGGCGGAGAAACGCACCGTTGCAGCGTTGCTGTAAAACGTCCACGAAGCAGGCTAAGTATATGCCACAGAATGTCCCTCGCTAGGCACAACATAATTCCCAAGAGCTAGCTGTGAGAACATATCTGGTCCAAAAACGACCTCCAGCTTGCAAATGGCAGACAGTGAAGGACAGTCTTGGTGAAGCCTAGAGTGTGGTCACCCCACCACAAATATCCGCCAACGAAATCAATTTCCAATGTGGAAGCGAATACCGTTTCGAACACGTCATCCATCGCGAGGACAATTGGGAGGGCCCGGGAGGCCGCTTCACAGGATGCACCACCAGCATGAGGCGAGATTATATGCACGCGGTGCACAGTCCCTACAATCGAGTTCGAGTTCACAAGGCATTGCACCTGAGGCCATTTTGCGTCCCAGTACCTGGGTTCTAGATGACCACTCAGTGGTTCCAAAGGTCTTTCAACGCACGACTTTAGTAGCACACGCCCACGAGCGGGGGAAGGCAAAATCGCTAAGAGTACCAGCTGGGAGCCTGTCGGTTCATGGCGTACACTGTCAGCGTGAAATGTTGCTTTCAACCCAGCGTAAAAGCAGGTTCTTGACCACCTACGGACTTTCCGTTTAAATTTCATCAGCATTGGGGAATCTCACAGGATAGAAGGGGACGTAACAGATGACATACTGTCCAATTCGAGGTGTACTGGAAACCTCAGAAGAAAAGTGGAAGTCTGGTATCACGCAACATAACGGTAACGATTTCCATCTTGCAAAGTAAGGACTAGACCCGGAAGGCTCAATCGCAACCTTGATATCACCTTCGTCAGATAGACTGTTCCCTCGTATGATAGACGCGAAATTGAGAACTGGTGAGGCATCTCTGCGACGGGTTGATGGATTCGTCTGAAGGAGTGATTGAACCCCCTCATGGAGTCGCTCAATGAAGCCTGAGTGGGCGACAGGCATTGATTGACTGTTTGCTTTCGGTAGCACCCCAGAACACGCTCGAGTGGTACGATTTCCTCTTTCGAATACAGTACAACAGGCGTGGAGATCGAGGGTTCGTGAATGAGTGTAATGAATACACCTCGCCAGCGGGAACGGCCCTTCTATACCGAGGTCAGAGATAAAAACGACAAAGGAAACGCAAACCCTACCTTGACTGGCTCCAGCAACGAGACGAAGTGCAGTTGATGAACTCGCTCCTTTTGATGCAGACTTGAATAAGGCAGAAGAGAGACTCCATCGGATAATAGTCAATACCGTATAGCGGAGGCAAAGAATAGGATCAAGCAGAGAAAATCTGACCGTTCAGACAATGAAGCCTGTGCATCGCAACGTCCGAGAAGGACCGTTCGCTCCGGATCAGGTTGCATGGTAATTTTTACTGGCAAGGGTACTTGGAGATAGCATAAGCCCGCAACCTGTAAAACTTAGGTGCAGCAAGACCGTACCTTCATTTCATGCAACACCAGAGATCCAAATGTCGGTCGTCGTGGTGTTCGATGTGGACGTGTCTGGACGTGTTCAATTTGTCGGATGGAAAAACGCTGGCTCACAGGCGCCCATAATAGTCACATGATTTGCCATTCAGACTGTCCTTCGGTGATACCGAGTCGTCAAGACTCAAGATCTTCCCTCTGGTGTCCTGCTCCTGTCTAGTTTACGAAGGTAGGCATCGTTTAGATCTATAGGGATATACTGCCCCGGAACTTTTGCCTGTGTTCTCATTCTCGTTTCATTCGCAGACCACGAATGTCAGGGGCATCCGAATGCTACCAAAACTCTCCAAAACTTCGCAGCATCCACGACTATTCCATTCCACCCAACACAAATATGCTCTGCGGCAGAAGCAGTTGCCGAAGAAACAAAATGTGCCCCCGCGCAACCCGATGCGACCGACAGCGGCAGGAGATCCCAAGACACAGGCACCAGTACAGGCACGAGAGCAAAGAGAGGAGGGACCTATATCGCACGGTGAGTGTATTTCTTATACATCTCAAAGCAATTCTTGACCTTTTGTAGCAGTTAAACGGAACGAGCTCGGTGTGCAGCTCTTATCTCGCAAGCTGCACGAGCAGATATTCCGCAACGTCTCTTTCCCTGCGCCCAACAAAAAATATGTGGAGATCGCCCAGGAGCATCTCCGCATGCATGGTCTTGACCCGTCTCAAGGCGTCGTCCTGCCCGACACGTCTTTCGTCCTTCCGCCTCTGCAAGGCCGTACTCTCGACCAGCATTTCTACAGCATCGGTGCCAGCGCGGCGCAACCCTGGCTCAGGATGGCGAACGAACTTGCGGGTGCGGAGTTGCCGCCGAGACCAGAGCAGTGGGATATCCAGGCAGGCTGGACCAAGTACGAATATTTCTCTGACGGCTCAAGCTGCAGTTCGCATGTCGAGTTTCCCATGCATGAAGGTCGGCCGGAGCAGATGCTCGTCTTCGACGTGGAGACCATGCCGGAGTACAGTCCTTACGCAGTCATGGCGTGTGCAGCGTCCAAAAATGGGTGGTATTCATGGATTTCACCGTGGCTATTGGACCAGACGGAAGAAGTCAGGAACCTGATACCTATTGGCGATTCCACGGTACCACGCGTAGTCGTGGGCCATAATGTCTCATACGATCGTGGCAGGATACTGGAAGAATATAGTATCGACCCTACTGGGACACGGTTTCTGGACACGATGGCGCTTCATGTCGCCATCAAGGGAATATCGTCTCACCAGCGCCCTGCGTGGAACCAGTACCGCAAGTCGAGGGAGAAGGAACAGGAGCGGAAAGAAGAGGCGGTAGACGCTGTCATGGAACTCATGCGAGAAGGGGAAGAGAAGATGCAAGAGGAGCAAGACTCCACGAAAAAGGAAGAGCTTCAGCGGCTACTCCATGAAATGGAGGAAAGCCTGCCCCTACTACAGGCAGTAGACTTTCTAGACACGGAAGAGGAGGAGATCTCGACCAAGCGTTGGGAAGACCTTACATCCGCTAATTCGCTCGCGGACGTCGCCAAGCTGCATTGCGGCATTATCATGGACAAGGAGGCGCGTAACGACTTCATGAAGTGTACTCCGGCCGAAATATTGGAGAACGTACAGGACTATCTAAACTATTGCTCCAACGACGTTGCTGTCACGCACGCCGTATTCTCCAAGACCCTTCCTGCATTTCTCACCGCATGTCCCAGTCCGGTGTCCTTCGCCGGTATCCTAACCATGGGTTCAAGCTTACTGACCGTCAATGAAGAGTGGGAAAATTATCTAGCAAATGCCGAGCGGACATACAAGGAGCTGGAGGACAAGGTCAAACAGCGTCTGCTGGATCTCGCGCACGAAGCGAAGAACATGATGGAGGGCGAACGGTGGCGAGACGATATCTGGTTAAGTCAGTTGGACTGGACCCCGAAGGTCGCAGGAAAATCGAGAGGCGTCCTCCCCGACGAAAGCGCCGCCACCGCGAGCCCTGCCGAGGTACGTCTTTGAATACGCTGTTATATCTCGTTTCCGATGCGGTTTGTCTAGACCGCACCAGTAGAGCCGACGATGTCGGAGATTACAGAACTGGTTCACTCAGACCATATCCCAGCATGGTATCAGGAATTGCTCACACTAGGTCCTCTCGATAGAATCGTTATCAACCGCATCCTGCCTTTGCTTTTGAAACTTTCCTTCGACGGCTACACACTACATCGTTCCACCACCGAGGGATGGCACTACGTGCGGGATGGCCAGCCCATGCGTTTGCCGACAGCAAAGTCGAAGGTGCTCACTGTTCTAGGAGGATCGCATGGCGTGCCGAATTTGCAGTCCAACCGCTTGACGTCTATCGATAGGGACCTGGCGATGAACATCTCGACCGGCGACACCTCGTCTGATGTCGCGAAGCGAGTCCTCGATCTCGCGAAGCGGACAGCAGAACTGGAGCCATCGCAGGCGGTGCAGGACTCTTGGCTGCAACAGCTCAACTGGAAAATGATGTCCCATTCCCTTGATCCCTCCGGTCAGCCTGCCGCCCCAAAGAAAGCGAAGTTATCTACGAAGCCGAAGCCGAAGCCGAAGCCCCCACCCACGCTCTGGCCGAAATGGTATTGGGATCTCGCAAGACCCAAAAAGGACGCTCTGCCCGGAAGCCTTGACTTGACCGTTCGTAACCGTCTTGCACCGTTGTTACTGCGACTTTCCTGGCAAGGCTGGCCGCTAGTTCACTCCCGTCAGCATGGTTGGACGTTCCGTGTGCCCCTCAGCGAAGGCTTTGAGACCCGCACGAAAGCGCTGGAGTTTGCAGATTCTGCGGACGGCACGCTGCACGATGCGAGTGCGCGAGGAGAGTATGTGTTCTACAAGCTGCCGCACAAAGACGGGGATAAGGCGAACGTAGGAAACCCGCTGGGGAAGACGTTCATCAAGTATGCGCAGGACGGCACGCTCAGGAGTCCCGGCGACGAAGCGAAGGACGCGCTCGACATGAACGCTCAGTGCAGCTACTGGATCAGTGCACGAGACCGCGTGCTGAACCAGATGGTTGTCTGGCAGGACGAGCGCGTCAACGTCGGCGTCGCGCAGCCTCAGGATCCTTCGAAAAAGTGGGGCATCATCCTGCCTCAGGTCATAACCATGGGCGCCGTGACCCGCCGCGCGATTGAGAAGACATGGCTAACGGCCAGCAACGCCAAGGCGAACCGGGTGGGGTCCGAGCTCAAGGCGATGGTGCGCGCGCCAGAGGGGTACGCGATCGTGGGTGCCGACGTTGATTCGGAGGAACTGTGGATCTCCAGCGTCATGGGCGATGCACAGTTCGGCCTGCACGGCGCGACGGCGATCGGATGGATGACACTCGAGGGCACCAAGGCGGCGGGGACCGATCTGCATTCCAAGACCGCGAGCATCTTGGGCATCTCGCGTGATCAGGCCAAGGTGTTCAACTACTCGCGGATCTACGGGGCGGGCATGCGTCATGCCCAGCTGTTGTTACTGCAGTCCAACGCTGGGATGCTGCCCGAGCAGGCTCAGAAGCTCGCGCAAAACCTGTACGCGTCGACAAAGGGCAGGAACACGCACCGCCCCGACTTGTTCGGGCGCAAGTTCTGGTACGGTGGCTCAGAGAGCTTCGTGTTCAACAAGCTCGAAGAGATCGCGCTGTCGGACCAGCCGCAAACTCCCGCACTCGGGTGTGGAATTACGTACGCGCTGTCAAAGGAGTACCTGCCTGCTACCTTCGGCGCGGACTACATGCCCTCGCGTATCAACTGGGTGGTGCAGTCCTCCGGCGTGGACTATCTGCATCTCCTCATTGTCGCAATGGAGCATCTCATCACCAAATACAACATCCACGCGCGCTATCTCATTTCCGTGCACGATGAATTGCGCTACTTGGTGAAGGAGGAGGATCGGTACAGAGCTGCGCTGGCACTGCAGATTGCGAATCTATGGACTCGCAGCCTGTTTGCGTTCAGGTTGGGCATGGACGACCTACCTCAGGGTGTTGCCTTCTTCTCCGCAGTGGATATCGACAAAGTGTTGCGTAAAGAGGTGGACATGCCCTGTGTGACGCCATCGCAGCCGGTCCCTATTCCACCAGGCGAGAGCCTCGACATCGCGAAAGTGCTGCAAAAGACGAACGGCGGTTCGCTGTGGCCGGACGGTGCGCCGATGTCGGAGGACGACAAGATTACCAGTGGGGGCAGTTTTGTCGACTATCGCAATCCGGACTGCTTGAAGTATCGCGCAGACAGTGTCGCCTGGCTGCAGGCTCAGGCGACGTCGGACTTCGAGGAGATCAAAATTCTGGCTCAGCAGTATACTGGCCAGAAGGGCAGAGGGGGGAAGAAAAGCAAATTTACTAATGCCAACGGGCTCAACCGCCTGAAGAAGGTGCGGGCTCTGGGTGATGGGGATGGTGTTGACTGGACGAACACCATCGAGCAGTTGCTGAAGTCTCTGGATATTCATCCGTGATTCGTTTTCTGTGGAGTTCGCATGCGTAACTTATTGATCCTATTGTATGTTCTGAGTAATCCGTAGCATATACCACGCTTGTGTTTGCCAAACAAGACCCGAGTCATTTTTCTGATGTGGTCCACTGATAAATGCGATTTGCATAGGGTTACGATTTTTTTCCCAGCGGTCGCCGCCGTCCCGCCCGATAAGCAGGCCGAGTCGGGGAGTGGCGGGGAAAGTGACGGCCCGCACCGTGCCCACTGCCCTACTGCCGAAGTGTCGGTGCGCGGTGGACAAGGTGAGACCACACATGTCGCACCGCCCGTGTCCCGCCGAGGTGCCGACGCGCTTCTCCATCACGAGTGTCGGGCGGGAGGCGCGCGATACCCAGAAAGGCATGTCGGGATCTATCCATAAAAGGGAATTTGCGACGGCGCGGGATGAAAATTACCCGAAACGGCAGTGATGGATGCGATAATGTGTCCTTGGACTGTGACCATCACGTCGGCCGCGCGGCGGGAGGCGATGACTCGCCCGTTCTCCCCGACCACCGAATATTCCATTGTCCACGCCCGCGGACGCGCCAGGCCTCACCGTATAAATCCCCCGCCCCCCGCCCGACATGGCCTTCACCCGAACACCCACCGCCCCTCCCCGCCCGCGCCCCGACACCCACACATTTATTCTCCATCTTCTCCTCCTTTAGGACATCCTCACAATGGCTAACGTACCAAATGCGCCATACCGACAACCGCTCCCGCTGCCTCCGACCACCTACCCCCCGCCGTCGGCGACCTTCCCCGGAATGGCGTACCCACAGATGGGTGCCCCGCCGGCCGCGCCGGCTGGATACACCGTTTTAAGTGAGTTGTCCGAATATAGGTGTCACTCCCGGCGCTGACCCCTCCGCAGACGGCCTCTTGACTCCGCCGGCGAGCCCGGCGGGCGGAATCAGAGTCTACGATGCGTTGCATATCGGCGTCATAAAAGTCAACCTCGCGCGGTCTTTGTCCCGCCAACTTGAACGATTTGCCAACATGCTGAGCCATCCGGCGGTGTCACCTCCAGTTCCGAGTATGGTCGTTGACGTGCTGGAGTGGGGGTTACTGCATGTAACGGTCGTGGGTGCGCACGGTGGCCGCGCATTCGTGACCGTTCATGATGTGCTCTCTCAGGTGGCGGGGGCTCTGCAAGAGCCAGCAGATGAGGCGTATGTAGGGCGCTTTAGCCCAGATGCCCGCCGTTACGCGCGAAGCAACCCCCAGCTGCGGCGTGTCGACATGCTCGGCCCATGCACCATGACGGGAGGTCTGGAAATTGGCTTCGACAGTAAAGGCAGCGTGCGCTACCTTCTCCGTCTCACGCAGTAATATTCGTCGCAAGCGCGGACGCACTGTGGAATTTGGACTCGGCTTGTACACAACCAACCCCATCTGTATCTTCTACGATCCCTGTATCCTTGGACTGTATTTTCGGACTGTATTTATAGCGCTGCTGCCGTCGTCAACGCGGCGTAGGAAAGTTCGACGTTTCCTGTGTCGCGCTGACAAGATACTCCCCCATCACTATTATGATTGGCCTCCCTCCCAGCTCTACTCTCCACATTACTGTTCTCAATAATGTTTCGCAGTTGTATCTGGCCATTATTCTGCTCGCTCACATCCCCTCTCGGTCAATGTCATCCGTTTTCGGGTCACTGAGCGTACTGCATTGATGCTGCAGTACTACAGAGATCGGCTGAGAAGGACAACATACGTACCATACTTCATCATTTGTATCTGTGCTGCATGCCTCAAACATAAAACAAAGTGAAAACCGACATGCAGACCTGTCCAAAATCATATCCCATTGCGGGAAAATGGTGCCCAAAGTGCCTCATATTCCCATTAGCCGACTCGAACGACTGACCTCGTCATGGATTACTGCCATCCTGTTATACTAGTGACGCGCTCTACCAACTGAGCTAAACGGGAAACAACTTATTTCGTCTCAACTTAGTATACTGGGGCCCGCATGCATCTGTACCATTAATCTTGATCAATCTGGCACAGCATGGAATAATTCCCAAAAGCAGTTGTATACACAGTCCATATCCATGATACACTCTGTGCAATGCTTGTCAGCAGGATAGCACCATCATTCAGAAGGAAGTAGATGTGCTGCTCTTGCATGCTTGGTGTGGGTGCTGCGATCGTAGTGGCATGCTGCAGACTAGGTGTTAGTTTGATCACAGTGAACAGTCCAGGAGGGGACACACTTGGTCGGAGGGTATATTCATAATGGGCAGTAGCCCTGACCACCATGTTCGTAAAGTTGTGCACAGTGACAACTATTTGTAATCCTTAATTAGTGTTCACTGTAGATGCACGCAAAGCAGATATTAAAACATGTACATACTGGACATGATAGCAGTTCGTGCATTGCATCATCATAGATAGAGAATGGTCCAATACACTATTATGTTCATCGGTCCTGCACCAGTGTGAAAGGAAAATATACCTGTCAGTCAGAATGTGCATGTAGGGTTTGGATAGCTAATGTCGTGTATAGTGGCCTGACATCATGACCTGTAACTGTGTAAATTGTAGAAAAGGTACTTCTGAAAATATCACCTTTACTTAAATCTTTCTAATGCTATGCTTAACTCACCTGGAAAAGCCTTGCCTGTTACTGGAAATCGATATAAGAGTCTTAAGGTTGCAAACTGAGTAGAGAGAAGGGGGGAAAAAGATGAAGACCATTCAATGGCAAGCTGAGCACCTTATATACATGACACTCTCCCCAACTCTATCTCAGATTGGGGCTTCAATGAGCTCTAATAGGTTCATTTTTAAAGTATATGGTGAGGGAGAAAAACAATGTCATAGGAGTCGATAAAAATGATAAGAGGCAAGTGTCAAAAGAGAAAAGCTTGTTACTAATAATGGTACTAAGTTGTGCAGCCCTTTCTGTGACATACTCTATACTCAGCTGTTTTTCTGGTACTTAGGCATCATTGGGGTCTTGTGGGATGCTAGAAGTCAATGCAGGAGTTGTCTCTATATGCGAGTCACATTTCAGGCTCTCAACAGAAGTGGAGAGCTCGACTATGTCATCTTTATGCACCAGATGGCTACAAATCTACCAGAGTCATTTGATGTTACATCATACAAAGGTAGAGTCGAACAATGAGTATAGTATAAGAGAGAAAGGGAGAGGTTCAAGAAGAAGAAAATGAGAATGTGTAATTTCTGTACTGACTCACTATTATGCCATATTGATCTAAAAAGTATCTTGCAAGAATAATCACTCAGTCCATTTTATTTCTCTACCACACCAGCCTCTTTGTGGCACTTAGGATAAGCACTTACATCTTAACAGGAAACTAATGTGTGTTAAACCTTTTGAGTATGATAGTGGAGAATGAGGTGACACAAGTGCCTATGAGTAGTTTCAGGTAGACACACTAGAGTGCAGAATGACTGAGAATTCACATCTAAGTTTAGTAGGTGAGTCATACTTACTGTTAGAAAAAAATCATCATTTTGTGTCAATATGTGGCCTGTTTTGCAATTACATATCTTATTGCATTACCATTGAGGAGGGCACTGATAATAGCATGTACTGCTCTTCTTAGTTGTGTGGCCTATAAAGAGAGGGTCCAACATGTGATGCATGATAGTGATGTTATTCATGTATAGTGTAAAGCTTCCCACAGCCACTATCAGTACTGGCAAATCACTTACCAGGACTGTCATGGTATATATGAAGATTATTAGTATGTACAGAGTTCTGCAGAAGTAGAATCAAGTGAATTTTGTGCAATTTGGTGTAAAATCACTGAAAGCAATGAAGAGATTAGGCAGCAGCAGCCTTAAGGGTAGGCTAAAATGGATATTTTCCATTTAGACAGAAATTGGTGAAACTGGTCACAATATCACCACTACAATGTCACTCACAAAATAGTTAAATTTTCATACTACTGATGTAAAATTACACAGACTAGTTGAGGTTGTCATTCAAACTGTGATCGAGTCATTAGGCGAAAGTTCACCTATCTTAACCTTTATATTGTTGGTCAAAGCAAATGTCCACCTTGGTAACTCATTTATGTAAGAGATTAAAGCATCAAAGTGTGATGCTAGATGAAATTGATAGGATTAGGGAGAAGATTGAAAGAAATTTGTTAATTACACATAATTTTCCAGTTCCACCAGGTCCATTCAAAAACATTCGTAAAGGTTCTTTATCAGGTATAGTTTTTAGAGTATGTTGTGCCACTGTACTAAATGTGTGAGATTGTTATAATAACTTCAATTAATGTATACAACACTGATGAGTGCACATCTGATACAAATATCTAAATCCAACCAAAGGGAATCTGTGTGAGAGCGACAGGCAATATGACAATAAAATGATGCAAGTGGGTCCCAGAACCTCGACCAGAGTCTAGTGGGATACTATTTGTAAACAAATGAGGACTTGTGACAAAAATGCAAAGTCTGGCAACAAAATATGACAAAGTCACAAAAGTCAGAGAGGTGAAGCTTAGGACATGTCGAGATTGCCAAAGTTGCAGGCAAAAATGAGGTAAATCATAAAGGAAGGGAAACTATCTGTTAGAGAAACACTATGGGAGAAATGCAGTATTCATGGAAGCCGGCGTACTGTCAGCTACACTCGAGAAGAGAACAGGAACAAATCATCTTCATTGCGTGCGTGTATGAGAGTACTCGTAAATACATGTGGGCGAGAAGACTAGAAATAACGCGTACCTTCGTTGCATGCATGTATGAAAGTACTAAAGCAGCAACGAAGGTCGCATGTCCAATGTGAACCATAATGTCATAAAAGGAAAGTGTCATAGTAAACCCGAGGGCGGGGTTACACTCTCCCCCATCCTAGAAAATTCGTACCGTAAAAGAAGTCTAAGAGAGAGAAAAAAATAGTTAAGGAGGAAGGAAAGTAAGGAGTCAATGGGAAGGAGAGTGTCTGGTCCGAGTGATATAATCATCAAGGGCTTGGAGTTCATCTACGTCGTGCCGAGGAAGCCAAATGTCATGTTCGGAGCTGTTGCTGCGGAACCGTACAAGGTATTAGAAACCACATTCGCGCGGATGGTGGTCGATGATTTCCTCTACCTTCCACTCTTGTTTGCCAGCATCAGTGATGATTGGTCCTGGTTGAGCGTGTTGCCTGCCAGGGAAGAGAGTCACATCATTTTCTTTCCATGGCTTGAGGAGAGAGGCATGGAATGTAGCTAAAATTTTCATTATCGCGGGTAAATCGAGTGTGTATGCGAAGGATTCAGGGTAAGCATGGAGTACGTGGTATGGGCCATCCCAGCATACCATAAACTTGGCAACCCTGTGGTCTCCACGCTGCATGTAATCTCGCCGGCGGTGAAAAGTCGATAATAGGACTTTGTCGCTGACTGCAAATGCGGGGTCAACATCTCGTGAGCGGTTTGTCAATGTCGCTTGGTTGACTTTCGCGAGAAAAAGGTTGTCTTGCACCTCGAGCACATCAGTGTCAATCTGCTTGACCAGATCAGCGGCGAGTGCACTTTTGCTGCTGTGATCGTCCGCCAACAATGACTGCAGAAAAGGAGGGATAAGATGAGGCGAGCGACCGAGTAGCAACTGGAAGGGAGAGAAACTGGTAGAGTCATTCACTGTATTCATTATCATGAAGCGTACTCATGGTAGTGCTCTGGCCCACTCACGTTGGTTATGAGAGATGTGGTAATGCAATGCCTGGATTACTGTTTTGTTTGATCACTCGGAGGAGCCATCGGATTGCGGGTGGTATGCAGAGGACATCTTTAGCTTAACGCCAGTCAGCTTGTGGAGTGCCTTTCAAAAGTTGCTGATGAAAAGCTTGTCTCGATCAGAGACAATGTCGAGTGGGAGTCCATTTTCGCAGTACCACCGGTCGAAGAATTGTACAGCAAAGGCTTCTGCAGTGATGTCCATACAGGTGGGTATGAGTCGGATGTCTGCATCAAGCCTGTTGGTGATGGTGGTGATGCAATTGAAGCCATCATCTTCAAGAAGGGGACCGATGAAGTCAATGGCTATGTTATCGCCACGCACTGTGGGAACAGGTAGAGGATGGAGTGGCCCAGGCGAGCGTCGAGTGGATGCCTTGTTATGTTAGCAGTCCTCACACGCCAGCACATAGAGCTCCTCAAGCTCTTTGCACATGTTGGGCCAGTAATATCCATTGCAGATTGCGGCGTAAGACTTATCGAATCTGAAGTGTCCCAGAGAATTGTGCACAAGGCGGAAGATGGCTTCTCGGAGTTTTGGTACATGAGGGATAACAAGTCTATCACCGATGAAGAGAAGTCCATTTTGTTCGCGGGTCCCAACAACACCGAGATTGGAATGCAGGCAGATGCACCACTTGTCTTCCTGGTATCCATCTTTGATGAGGTGTAGCCACTCGAGGTTGGATGAAATGGAGAGATGTGAGGATGCGGCTATGACGAGGGGAGTAGGGGGCTCGTGTATATGGCAGAGCGCGTGTGTCGCAGTTTGTAGAATTGCGGTGGCAGCGTGGCAGAGTGGGTCGATTATGTCGAGATCAGCAGGGAGGCAAGAGAGTACATCAGCAGCGATGTTCTTCTCTCCTTTGATGTACTTGATCTTGAAATCATACTGAGCAAGAAACTCCTGCCATCGTGCTTGGCATCTCGAAAGCTCCTTTTGGTGGAAGAAGTTTTTGAGCATCCGGTGGTCTGTGTACACTGTGAAGGGAACACCAAGTAGATCAACACGCCATTTTTTGAGTGCACGTACAATAGCAAAAAGTTCCTTTTCATGCACAGGGTAGTTGAGTTCTGCACCTTTGAGGGTGCAGGACTCAAAAGCCACTGGGCAGGCAGTCTCAAGGGACTCACCGAATGAGAGCATTGCACCAGTGCGGAAATCGCTAGCATCGCACGATACAAAGATCTTGTTGCAGCCTAAGTCATCGTGGTTAATGACGGCGAGGACTTCGCGACTGCAAATGAGCTCTTTGATGCTATCGAAGGCACGTTGATGTTCTGTTGTCCACTGCGGAAAATGAAGTTTGGCATCTTTGGTCGTGAGGGGGTTGAGAACATTGGTGAAATTAGCGAGCTTTGGAAGGAAGGGTGCAATGTAGCATACAAGTCCGAGAAAGGCGCGTATGTGACCGGTGTTATGAGGGATAGGCCAGTTAACGATCTTCTCAACTTTTTTTGGATCAGCTTCGATACCGTTGGTGGAGATATAGTGTCCAAGGAAGTCGAGCTCGGTAAGAAAGAGTGACATCTTTTTATCGGAGCATTAAAGGTGGTTAGCCAACAAAGCCTGGAGAATAGTGCATACATTGCATCGGTGCTCGTCCAGGGTTTGCGACCAGATGATAATATCATCTAGGTAGATGTGGCAAATCTTCCCGATCAGAGGGCGGAGTGCAGTGAACATCCATCTCTGATGGGTTAAAGGCGCATTCCGGCAGCCTTGTGGCATGACCAGCCACTCGTATAGTCTGAATGGCATGGTGATGGCAGTGTATTTCACGTCATCCGGATGTACACAAGTCTGGAAAAAACTGTTCATCATATCGATCTTACCCCAGATTTTTCCTTGACTGCAGTCTGCAAGGATGTCCGCAACACGGGGTAGTGGGTGCATATCGGGTACAGTGTTAGAATTGAGTACACAATAATCATTTACCCACTGAGGAAGTGCATCGGGATCAGCCTTAGGAATGAGGAAAGCTGGGGAAGTGTAAGGACTGTCCGATGCGCGCATATGACCTGCGTCGAGGTGTTGCTGCAAGAGAACTTTCCACGCTTCATGATATTTTTTTGGACAGTTGTATTGTCGCCATTGGATGACTATTTCCGGATCCTTCAGTGTGAAATGGTGGTAGATGTTGGTTGGGAGGTCGTCGAGATGTGGAATGTCGTCAGGGAAAAGGCTGGCAAATTCTGACTTCATCGCAGCATTCTCTGCCCACAGCATGTTGTGAAAGGCCAACTCTTTAGTGCGGAGACATATTGCGTGCACGGCAGAAATGTCGAAGTTGCAGGAGGACTTGTCGCATGTGATCTTATGCTCAGTGGTATGCTCCGTCAGTTCACGCAGCAATGCAGTGTGATTCTCTGTCCTTGTGTGTTCACCAGCATGCAAGGATTCGAAGTCGGCACATTGTTGTTGTTGCAGAGTGGTCGGCAGTCTTTCAGAGGGAGGGGGTGGAATTGTCTTTGTGATGTCGCACCCAGATGTCTTGTCGCAGACGGAGTCAGATTTGTGATCAACGACGAGTTGGTTCGATTTGAGAAAAGGACGACCTAAAATTACAGGCATACAGAGTGACAGTGCGACAAGGGCACGACAGGTACAGGACTTCCAAGACAAATCTGTTATTGAAACTTTCAGCTTCACCCACTCACTAGCTTCATTTGCTTCCATGCCCCAGACGTTGCCGAGAGGAAAAGGAGATGGAAGTCATCAGCGTCGCAGGAAGAGGCTATCAGCAAGCGCGGTGCTAATTAGAACTGTGGGTGATCCAGAGTCAATTAGCATGGGGAGCGCTTCAGAGTCAGAAAGAGGCCTATGAATAATCTCAGATCAGGGAATGTGGGGTATGACAAGTGGTGGCGATTATGTACTCGGAGCCCTCAGATTTGCTATCAGTCCCGAGGATACTGGACGTGGCAGCGAGAGGAGGAGAGTCGAGGTTCACAGCGGCAACATTATATGCAACATGATTGTCTTCATCGACAGTGATCGCTGTGACAGGGCGACTGGTGTTGCCCATCTGCACGGCATTCTCCTTGTTATGCCTCACTGTGGAGAGGTCAGATTCTGTGAGGGTGTGGTATGTAGCAGGATTGGGATAGTCATTATTGCAGGTGTCAGTGCAATGTTTCTTCGGTACGAAGAATGTCCGACACTTGAAACATCCATCATTGTCTTTGAGCAGCTTACACTCCTCATTGGTGAGGGGAGGCAAATGAGCATGGGGCTTCATGGGGGCTGCAGAGCTAGAGGAAGTGAAAGATGGTGCCTGCTTCGGACAAGAGTTGGTGATGCAGAGAATGCGTGTCCTCTCGTGCATACATGCAGTATCAATTTGGATAAGCTTCGCCTTCCAGTCATGGAAATTGGTGATGTCCTTGACTTCATCAGAGTTGGAGGCATGGTGAAGATCTTTGCAGATACTGGCTGTGATCTGAGACCTGAGTTGGTCATCAGCGAGGTGAGAAGTCATTCTGCGAAGGATAGCGTTGAGTTTCTCGACAGAGATAACCCAATCTTCGAAGGCCTCATCTTCTTTCTGTCGTGAGCATAAGAATTGGGTGAGCGTAGAGGTGGCCCAATCTCTGGGGAGGAACTGGGCCTTCCAGGCGACAAGAAAATCCTTTCACGACATCGTGTCCCATTTCACGGCATCGTTGTAGTACCAGTCCTTCATCAGAGTCTCCTGGAACCCACCGGTGACCTTGGCCACCTTCTTGGCATCCTCGATGTCCCTCTCCTTGAAGTATTGGAGGCACACATATTCCCAGGCATGCACCGCAGCGGGAGTAAGTTTGCCTTCAGAGAGGATGGGCAGAAGCTTAGGGTTGCTGTAGAATACGGAAGCGATCTTGGATTGGACGTTCATGGTGATTGATGAAGGAGTAAAGAATTTGGAGTCCGAAGATGAGAAGGAGGACGATTGGGAGACAGTGTGGAAGCTGGACTAGGAGTAAGGGTCAGGTAGTGCAGAGCAGGGGTATGCATAACCCTCAAGGGTAAGGGGTAAGGGTATTGGAGGGTAAGGGTAGGGGTATGAGCTTTCAGACCCTTGTACCCCTGGAGGGTATCACTACATATAGTATATATAATGTAAGCAGTAATTATATGGTGACTAAAGCCTAAGTACACCCTAGATATAGCCTTAAACTATGTCTACAGAAGCTTCAAAGAGAAAAGAAGGTTATTACAAGCCTTGAACCTAATGTCTATGATGCTATTTCCTCAAGTAAGGCAGATATTGAGGGGTATACCCTCAGGGTTTGGTACCCTTACCCATACCCTTACCCCTGGTGAAGGATATGTACCCTTGGAGGGTAAGGGTAGAGGTATGCCTCAAAGTACCCAGGGGTATACCCCTGCTCTGCACTAGGGTCGGGAGGTCTGAGAGTGAGAGAATTGATAAGGCTGGTGACTTGCGGCTTGGAGGTTCGTCAAGTTCGGTCGCGATGTTCTCAATTTCAGCAAAGGGAAATGGGTCGACGTGATTGCACCTGTGAGCGCAGGTGTTGGGATGCAGGTTGAATATGTGATGGTGGTAACGATGAGGGCTGGTATTGGCATATGGGCATATGATAGCCTCGCGTTTCTGTGCGCTGGTGAAGGTGCCGATGTCAGATCTGTGGGGGAGATCCTTCCGTTGGGGGAGATGCCTCTGTTGGGGAGATGCCTCCGTCAGTGTGATGCTTCTGCGTCTATATGGATATGCGAAGTATCCGGTGTTATCGGTGTTAGGGATGATTGTCCCTTTGGGCGCCGTATGCAGGATAAGAAGGGGTCGATTTTTTGATGTTCAAAAAAAAGTGAAAGCCAGCGTACTGTCGGCTACACTCGAGAAGAAAATAGGAACAAATTGTCTTCATTGTGTGCGTGTATGAGAGTACTAAAGCAGCAACAAAGGTCGCGTGTCAAATGTGAACCACGATGCCGTAAAAGGAAAGTGTCATAGTAAACCCAAGGGTGGGGTTACAATCCATTACTTTGACAAAGTCACAGTCAGTCTAATGCAAAAGTCAGAGTAAGATGAATGCAGGTGATATATCACAGGTTGCAGTATCACTATATTGTTATTGCTATCACAGTCACAGTCTCTAATCACAGTACACAGTCTGACTATATCACAGTGTCACAGTCACAGTGTTGCAGTGTCACAGTGAGTGTATTGCAGTTCAAAGTCCGGTTGTGCATGAAACTATTTACGATCTCAAGCGTGACAGCATGATGACATGTGATCATTCACCTGAAACAGCGCTGTCGACTCGAGGTATGCACGGGCCTTGGCCGGAGGAGCTTTTGGCTCTGGGTCAAGTAAGTGGTACTTCGCTGTGGTCCACCGGGCATGGCAAAATGAAAAGTATGCCGGGCTATCACAGTTGTTCATTGATATCAAATTTATAATAGTGGCTTGAGGACATCTAAGCTATACATGAGATTCGTTGTCTGAAGTCGGATGGGTAGTCTGTACAATACAGATGGGAGAGTGTAGGGGGGGATGCCTAGCAATCGTGTGCGAGAGCTTGCATTCTGTCTTCTGATATGATGCCTACAACCAGTGCAGGGCTTAATGAGTTTTCTTATATGAGGCCTACAACTAGTGCAGGGCTTTGCAAGTCTTTTTTGTCTTCTTATTCAGGTGCCTACAACTGTGTGCAGGGCTTAACAGGTCTTCCTAGTCTTCCTATATGATGCCTACAATCAGTGCAGGGCTTAACAGGTTTTCTGTCCTCTTAATCTGGGTGCCTACAACTGTGTGCAGGGCTTACTGAGTGCGTGTGTTTTAAACGATATGCCTGGCCAATAATTTTCCTTTTGCTTTTCGAGAACTTTCTGAGAACAGTTCAAGTATCTAGCAACTGTGTGCTAAATTACCCAAAGGAAACTAAACAAGAGTGCAGTAGTTGTATCGGAACAACTCACTGCCTGCAATGGAACTGACTGCATTGAGATCCTTTTGATTACGAGTAATAAGGTACAGGGAGGAGTGGAATGAACTCCTATTCTTTTAGTTTATATACTTGTAGGGTGAACTACAAGCAGAGGGAGAACTCTTTACTTATAGGGGCTATAAGTGGGGAGAGAAGAACTGTGGGTCGGGGCACCTCAGAGATTCTTTTATACCCCTCCAATGTTACCCTGTGACCATTATATAATAGTGTTACATGGCAAATTGGCCAATAGCAAAATAAGAGCATCACATGATCAAAGGATAAAGTAGAAAGGAAAAATGTCTTGAGACCTTCGTGTCCAAAGCATAAAATGAGTAGGGAGAAATAGGGAAGATAAATGTCTTGGAACCTCTGTATCCAATAGTATAAAGCGAACAGGGAGAAATAGGGAGAGAGCACTTTCCGAGTTTTTCCCATCCAATAGCATAATGTGAGCATCAGGTGACATGCTTGGCCAACATTCTTGGGTTCCATCTTGATCACATGATTTTCTCATCGAGTGCTACACCGGTGGTTATGTGTTCCCAAGCCAAACACTTTTGATGCATGACAGCATGCTTAAGAAGGGTGCAAAGAGCATGAGTTTGAATATCGTCATGCCAGGACAGAAGGAGGCATCCCAAATATATATATATATATATTTCGTGCAGATGCACTGTTCACTGTGGGTAAGAAGACAGAGGGAGAAAGTGCCCCACAGGGAGCTTAAGAGGTTTAAAGGGAGGAAAATTAGACCATGAGGGCCTGAAAATTAGCTCAGAGAACTGTAGATTTCCCATGGGGGACTGTAAATGAGGCAGGAGAAAGCCATCTTCAGCATGGCAGCCTTCACACCAAAATTTGGCTGAGGATGGCCACAAGATTGATGCACAACACCACATTTACAGTCTCATTAACAGTCCCAGTGGCCTCTAGGCAAATTTTCCATTACGGGCACTTTCGAGCAGTTGCTGTACCATTATTTTCATTACACAATTAGCCGAGGGTGATAATCTACCTCTCCGTCACTAAATTCTCATGCATCACACCTGCCTGTGTGCCCACTATTAAGTAACACTGCCCGCTTGCACCCTCTGATGCGTGCTTGGAGGCATGCTCAGTCACGTGCTTTGGGACTGTAGTGTGGGAATGAGAGACTGTTGATGGACCATAAATGGGGTGGATAAAGTTACTATCATAGTAAGATGCAGTTTCTTTGTGATCTGAAGTGAAAGAGGAAATCTTCCTCAGGTCTTCAATGATAATTGAGGTAGATACAGGAGGTATTTATAGAGAGGGGAAAAAGAGAGAGAAAATGCGGAAGTCATGAAATGTTGGATGGTGGATCCTGACATCGGAGAAAGTCGCAATAGTATGGAACCAATAGAAAATAGGAAAGTCAGTTGGGAGATGAACATTGTAAGATAAAAATGGAGAAGAACAGTAAAGTAGGGGGAGAGAGAAAGAAAACATAGGCTACTTGTCCTAAACTATATGGAAACACCCAAACAGCATCTCTGGTCCAACATGAAGGTAGAAGTCTTGAAGGGGAAGGGCAAACAGTAAGGCACATCAGTGGAAGGGCAAACAGTAAGGCACATCAGATTTGCAAAACAAGGGGGCATGATCGTTGACAGATACCAGTAAGTTGGTGCGACAAACCAGAAGGTCAGTGTGACATCCAGAGAGGTGGTGTGATATCAGGAGCATATAGAATTAAAAAGGAATTAGTCAGGGTGCATCGGACAATGAAGGGAAATTGTCGGGTGAGGCCAAAGTGCAATGAGTAGATATGATCTGATAGAGTGAGAGATGCAGGGATAGTGTGCAAGTGACAACAGAATGTCAAATGCTTGAAAGAGTTCACAAGAAGTCACACGAAGTTGCGAAAAATTGCAAAATGTCACAAAGAGTTGGACACAGCTTAGAGACTAAGGCATTGAGTGCTGATGTCTGAGAGATCACTGAAAAATGTGTTTTTAAAGGCCAGGAGGTACAGGGAGCATATCCAATGTGTGATCATTGATGCTTAAATATTGTGAATGATTAGGTATGTAAGATAGTTCAAGCATTATATCCATAGAACTTAGACAATGTTGTTGTATTGAGATATTATTAGATATTAGTTGTATGTTATCTCTCTCATTTTGAACATCAGCATCTGATAGTTCGACCATTTTCTTCTTTCAATAATCTCAGCAAGCATCATATTCTGTTCTTTATAACATCTCAAGATATGCATTATTTTCACTAAGTTCTTAAACTCAACTTGACTGTGCCCAATCTAGTGCAGGCTGATTTTCTGCCATATAACTATACAGGCCATATTTAGTGGCTGTCAACATGCATTCTAACACATTGTCATTTGATCTTTTTTTGTTGTTATGATGTTGAATCATTAAGTGAATTTTAGTGAGATAATATTTTAACTTTATTGCACTTCATGGAAAGATCTGTATCTGATATAATAAAAGCTTCTTTGATGTCCAAACTAAGTTTTATAGACCTTATTTGCTTTCTATGTGCCTAATTTCTAAAGTAGTCATTCTGACTATCCTTATATTCATGTAGCAATTGCATACTATTTATAACATTGTGATGATATGCAGACATTCACGATAAATATTGTTCGTAAGCTTCCTCCTATTTTTGACTATCAGTTCTAAGATGACATGCAGATGTTCACAACTGGAAATGTATCAATATTAATTGACAATATCTAGGTAGCTGTTTTTGCATATCTTTATGCAGAAGTGTTGGACTAATCAGAACAGGTATCAGAATGTGTTTGAGGTGAATTATTTGTAAGCATTTTCATTCAGCCTTAATATGATTTACATCCATTAGATATGTTGGTCAAATTTGACTCTTTGTCATCATATTTTTTTGCAGAGTATCATCAGATGCCTTGTTCAATGAACTTAAGCACTGCTTGATATCAACA